GGGCAGGGAGAGAGGGCCAGAAAACTTTGCATCTGTACATAGTGGTATTTTAAGCTGACTGGAAATAAACTTTTAACTTGCAGAAGGTAAATATATTAAATATACTAAAACTTTTCAGAAGTGTGAAGACCTTAAAGTGCTGAAGAAAATAGCTTGTGTTTCCAGGTCACTGTTGTTTGTGGTGATTTCTGCATCTGTTGTTAGGAATTTAGTAGTTATGTTCAGGTCCTTCCTTGTTACAGTACTCATGAATTGCCTTTTCTTCTCACTCTTAAGGCCATATTTAGTAATCATAAGATAGTTTTGATCCCAGTATCTTAATACATCTTCACCCCTGTTCTTTTTTGGAAGTGTTTCTTAATGATGTTAAGATTGGGCCTATTCGCTACATGAAAACAAGGATTTTAAAAGGAGTTGGAAAGCTCTATAGTGAGTCTTTTTAAAAATCCTAAGGGGAAAAATAACTGTGTGTATTGGGAATGTATCCCTGGTTTCCCCCCAGGCAGTGTAGAAAGTGCTGGGTGAGCTACCCTAATGCTCAAGCAAATTTAAGCCTACCTTTTGCTGTCTTAAGGAGCTGATGTGCTCTGCCCCTGCACAGTGACTCATGGGAGTGGCAAGAGAAATTGGTTCCAGTGGAGCAGTTTCCTTAAGATTCAAAAAAGCAGGCTTCTGTCATTGGCAGGTGTCAGTTTTACCATCTGAGAAGGGAAGGCAGGATGGGGTCCTCATTAACACCTTCCCTAAGAAGCTCTGTTGTAGGTGACTAGCCAAACTCAAAAAAACCCAACCAGGACTGTTTTTTTAAAATAAATACATTGCTTAGCACAGGGCTTTTAAGAGCTTTGTAATTAATAAATATGCATCAGTGAGTCTCATGTAGAAGCAATCCTGATTATGACCACAAGAAGCTTTTGCTCCTCCTGTGACCACGGTGCAGTCCTGGCTGTTTAGCCAGGCTGTGCAAGGTCCCATCAAATTGGCTAGTCCAGAGCAGAAATCCCAACTGGGAAATAGATCAGGTCATTGGAAATCAGATGATGACTCATGCTAAGTCATCTGTGAATTTAAAAAGTAATGCAAGACATCCTTTTGCTTTAAGCAGCATTTGTTTTCAACAGACAGTAAGTTTTATTTGGCTGTATACAGTTGACTGAAACCCATGAAGTAAGTAGGAGGTAACTGCAAAAGGCTTGAAGGCAAGACTGTTGGAAATAACAACATAAATGTGACCATTAATGCATTGGATTGATTTTCAGGAAGAACCTAAGCGTCATACCAGATCTGCTGATCTGTGCACTGATGTTTCTCAGATAGCCTAGAAGAAAAGCAGGGAGAGTATATGGAAGATAAAGATCATGGTCTTTGGCCACCAGCAGTAGTTGTAGGGCATGTAGGTGCTTACTTTATTGTAGAGATGAGATCTGTGAAAGAGAGCTTTTCTGGTCATTCTTAATGTCTTGTCTGTAAGTTTCTCTTAATATTTAAACAAATATTATATGCTAATTGGGGTTTGAAAAAAATTATTTTGGCCAAGGAGGTATGTCCACTAGCCACAGAGCTGCAGTTCAATGGCTGTTAGACCTGCGAGACAGAAAGCAATTTTTCTTTAGCTGATTTTTCAAACAATCTGTGAAATGACTATCATTTCCAAAACTTCTGTAATATGTTGGTGATTGTGCTGGGTCGCAAATGTTACTGTCACTCCATGTTGGCCATTAAAGACTGTAAAATTTTTCTGTGATTCAGCACTTAGGAATGGTTATCATGCTTCTCAATGGCAAATTATTTTTTTTTCTAAAGTGTGGGGGTGTTGTGGTTGGTTTTGGTTTTTTTTTTTTTAATGAGCCTGGCTTGTGACCTTCAAAAAAATATTTCTTCCATATTTATTTATTTTATATAGTGATATATAGAAATAAACCCCTTCATTTCTAAACAAACTGTTTCTGGTCACACTGAAATCCTTAGTGTGACCATTTGAGTGCCATCTAGGGTTTTTTTTAGACAGAGTATTTCTGCTCAGGGCATGTGGAGGGTGGAAGAAAGGAGAACAATGAAACTTGTGTGCCTCCCAGCACTCTTCTAGGTTGAGGAGAAACTGCTGGAATAACCTGAGTTATAATACATGGGAAGTTTGTTACTGTGACAAAGCAAACATGATACAAGACTGATTTTTTTCCAGGGGATTCTGAGAATGTTGATATATCAAATGTAACAACACTGAAAAAGAACACTGCATTGTTTCCCAACACCAAGCATTTTCTTGTGTTTGGGGAATGAAGGTGATCCAGTGTTCTAGTAAAACGGGACATTTTCATTTCTGCACCTCATTGGACTGCTGCAACTGGCTGCAAATGGCATGATTTGATCAGGAGAAAGCCAAAGATGTTTTCCCAGCTGGTGTGAATGGGAGTGAGGTCTCATGAATTGGGATAGTAGTCTGTTCACATCATGGTATTGAAAATTTCAGCTTGCCTTGATCACAATACCTTCTTGGAACAGTATTGGCTGTAATTAACCCAACCTTGAGTTGCAAGTCTGATTTAGGTAAGCGGGCAACAAGTGCAGTTTAACAACTTGTCCAAATACTGTGTTGGAAATCACTGAGAACAGAGGTTCTCAATATTTTGTAGACTGCAGATACGCAGGTCAAGCGCAGGTCAAGCTTTTTCCTCAGTATTGACATGTCTCATCCTTACAGACAGGATAGCTGCAAAAATACAGTAGAACGAAAATTTTAAGCAAGTTCTCAAGCAAAGCTGCTATTAAAGTACAGCCAAAAGATTTCCAATTTCCTTTGGTTATTTCTTCTCTGAAATGACCTGCTCCTCTAAGTGAAGGGTCAATTCAGAACATGCTGAATTTTAAAAACTTCATACCAAGACAGATAACATGGGGTTTGAGAGGAAGGGAACAGGATCAGTGTTCTAGTCTCTACACAGGTTCTTTAAGGTAGCTCCAGAGAACTGGTTGTACTTGCTTTGAAAACAACAAAGCCTGGTGTACTTGTCATAATGGGTGCTGTGAAAGGAGGTGTTCAGATGGCAATAGATGAACGTATGGGAGGAATGAGAAGGGACTTTAATTCCGACAAGGGTGGTGTTCTGTTGGATCAGCTGGCTCCTTGGCTTCCGTGATGCAGTCAGTCTATAGCTGCATCCTTGAGACAATGTTTAGCACCAGAAGGCAGCAAATTTCCTTGACGTTTTAGCTCTCCTTTTGTTTGGGTCACAGCCTCATATTTCTGCCGGTGGTGAGCAGAAGACAATGAAGGAATGATAGAATCTTTCAAAAGAGCGGGGTAAGCAGCAGATTCCCAGTAATAACAGATTTGAGAAATAGCTTTGCGAAAAAATACTAAAAAATACATTTTTTACCGTGGAGCAGCTAATACCCAAGATAGTACTAAAGTGTAGGTTTATCACTGGTGTTCAGATTTGACACTTGAGGATTCATGTTTCTTCTGTTTATTTTTCCATTTAAATGGAGGTTTATGAATTCTGAATTATTTCCACATGATTTTGAGGATTAGTATTTGTACAAATGCTGTAAGTATTGAGGTTTTCCAAAATGACTAGCTAGGTCTGATTAGACCTGAGTGGAGTATTACATGATAGGTTGGAAGGGTTGCAGTTAATGTAGCAACTTCTGTTTGGTTCTACACTGGAGCTTGTGTTCCTTAGTGCTGAAACGCAGTCTCAACATATGTAGTAATAAGTAATGTTGTAAGCAGGTGAGAGTCTTCTGCATCTTTCCCTCCCAGCAGTAAAGAAACTTAATGTAACTTAACAGAGAAAAAAAAAAAAAAAGCCAAGTAGACTACTTATCCCTTTAGGCCCTAAGTTTAAAGCTTGTGTTAAAGAAAAGCAATAGGCTCTTAAAAGTGAACCCAAATAATTTAAGACTGTAAAGAAACTTAATGCAACTTAACGGAGAGAAAAAAAAAATTGCCAAGTAGACTACTGATCCCTTTAGGCCCTAAGTTTAAAGCTTGTGTTAAAGAAAAACAATAGACTCTTAAAAATGAGCCAAAATAATATAAGACTGTGTACAAAACCCCCTTACTGAACCCATGGTGTGATTTGGACGGGTTTCTGTACAGCCCTTGCTTCTGGAGGTCTTATGTAAAACGCTGTCTATTCTCATTTCTCCTCCAGATGACCTCCTGGAGCTCCAAAAGTCATCAGTCTCCTTCTGGGAGGTGACTGTTCACATCCTTTTCACCGGATGTTGCTTTCTCAAGAGACAGCCAGTCACTCCTGTTTCTGAAACAAACAAGACCTGTCTTGTCTCAGCTCAGTCCCACCTTCTGTTGAGGCACTAGCTTCTCTTGAAAGGGTGCCAGAAGATTGTCATTTGTTGGCAATATGTTGCCCTTAATCCTCCCACAGTTGTGGCTGTAAGATGCCTATTTCTCATTCCGATACACATTGAAGCTATATAAGATTTGGAGCCTAAAAGACATGACTATTTTTTCCCTTGGTTAATGTCTTCAGAAAGAATGGTTGCATCATTCTGTTGCCCATTTAAATTGTGCAGCAGACCAATTTCCTTTTCCTTTCCCTGTGCTTTTAAAGATGTCGCTTCTCCTTGGCCTTGCTCTAGGAGACTGCTGTGTGAGATTGGTCTTGGGTTCCTGAGTTCTTGAGAAAGTGATGCCTGAGTGAGCCAAACAACTAAATCTCTGAAGCTCTTGGAGGAACTGTTGGAGCTGCTTGCTTGCTGAACCAGTGCCCAAAGCAGCACCACTGTTATCAGCCTTCTCCTTGAGACTGATTCCAAGTGGGTTCATGAAGGGAATCTTTCCAGTGCTCAGAATGAAACAGCATTATCAGGCCATTGGTAAGGAACAGGCTTGGCTGGTTCATTGCTAACTCCCAAGCTGCTGTCTTTCTCTAGGAAATAATTCCCTTGCACCACTACTTGTAGTTTTGACAGTCTTGCTCTGGAGACCACCTTGCCGAATATCACTGTGGTTTCCTCTCGCTGGTCAGCAAAGAAAATGTAACGTGACCTTTGGCTGTAAGGGCATGCGTGTCGCCAGAGGTTGCTGTTAATGGGGGGAAACCCCAGGAGCTGAGCCTGCATGGGGGGCTCTTTGCGAACGATGAGCTAACTCTCTCTGTTCCACCTCCCCTCCAGAACTGTCAAGTAACCCATCTCTGGCTTCGATCCTCATCCCTGCTCATGCCCGGAACCAAGCAGCTGCTTCAACCCCTACAAATGCTACAGCGGCCTCAGGTGAGAATGTGCAACTGCCTGCCTCTCTCTCCACCCTCACTCCACCTGCCCAGCCACCTTCCCCCTGCCGGGGCCCGCAAATCACCTCGACCCTCGGGGTGAACGGGGAGGAGGAAGGGTTTGTTCCAGCATCACCAAAACTCAGTCTTGGTAGGTGGTCATTTGGGTGCTAGCCATGGTCACCAACCCAAATCCTAACCCAGGACACTTAAACTCTGTGTTTGACTGTTTAGTTTGTTGGTCCTCGCTCAGACTTCCACTAAGTCAAAATCATTATCTCACCTGGTTTTTAGCAATCCTCATGGATTGGTTTGCACCTAATTTCTGAGCTCTTAGCCAGTCTGAATTAAATACTGACTTGGAGCATGAGTTTGTGATGCCTAGGAAGAGAAGAAACAGCTAGCTCCATACACGTGGCCTCCGTGGAGCGTGGATGGAGAGGATTTTTTCCCCAAAGGCATTAGCACTTAGAAGTCTTGTTAAGGAGTTCAGTCAGCATGCTCGCTGCCTCATCTAAGTAGTTGCAGTTGCTTCTTGATGAGTTTGCTTGTGTCATCCTTGGGCACGAGGCAGATGCTATTGGCTTTTGGCCAGCACTAAGTGAATTTCCTTTTTTGCCTCTCCTGCTCGCTCTCAGATTTCTGTCAGAAACCTTTTAAAAGCTCACTGTTGGCCTGTAGCCACTCCATATTGTATGCTGTTTCCAGTGAAAGCTTAAAAGCTGGGTAATATCAGTTGGGAGACTCCTGAAGAAAATCCCAGGTGCTGCAGAATGTGGCAGAGGTGATTTGGTATGTGGCACTCTTGCTCTGAGTCAGGCCTGAGTCAGCACTCGCCAGCCAGCTGTCTCAGGGCTGGGGCAGCCAAAGGCAGGCTGCAAAATGGATATGCTTCCATATGCATCCTGCATGCGTGTCAGTCCCGTTTGACAAGGGCTGTGACCCCCTTTTGAGGTGCCGGACACTTATTCGGTGTAAGATAGCTGATAAGGAGAAACGTTAATTAAAAAAGGTACTCTCGAAACGTGCAGGAGAGCATTTGCAGGTTGATATGCTGGACAGTTACCTGATATCTGATGCACTTGGCCTAGCCAGTGCTGTATAGAAAGCATTTTCATACACCAGGACATACAGATACACCCAGGTTTGAAAGATGAGGCTTCTCTGAAAATGTATTAACAGTAGATACAGCCCGTACAGTTTATGTGCTCTGAATTTAGAAGAAAGCAAAATTGCTGTTTGGAAATTTAGTGTGTTTGTTTCATACACTTGGCAGTATTTTGCAAATAGTCACATTCTCTATTTTCCTTTTATGTGCTTCTGTTGCTCAATAAGGAGTAAGAAAAAAACTCCAAAAGATAAAGTAGTGAAAGTGATTGGAAAACTACAAAATTACAAACATGAAAATTTATTTTAAGCCCTTCTGAAAAATACTGTTTCACTTACTGTCCCTTTCGTGTCTTTTAAGGAGTTCTCTTTGCCAAGATACAGGTCTTGAGGAATTGATGGGGCTAAAGAAATCTGTTTTCACCCAGCAATTTCCAAGAGTTCATGTGGGAGAAAAATTCATTAGGCCCAGTCCTAAATGTAAAGTATACAGAAAAAAGAAAAAAAGAAGAAAATAAAAAAATAAAAAACCCACAACCCCACCTTATTGATATCAATATTTTTAAACCTTCTGTTTGCAAGCACCGCACTGAGTTGGGATAGGACCTCTTATTCAGAGTTCAAAACCCAAAAAAATATCCTTTCAGCTTGGAAAGAAATTGTGAAAATAAGTTCACTATTGGGCAACTTGCAGCTCTGGGTTTCTGCAGCACAGCTGGTTGGTGGTTTCTTACATGAGGTTCTTGCAGCAGGTAATAGGAATTTCATCAGAGTTGTGAATTTTAGGATTAGGTTCTGTATGAGGTTATGTTAATCTGTTGTGCTTTTCACACTGCTGCTACACTTAGCCAGAGATTTTGGTAGAAGGGTTCTGTTCTTTCCCTACACCCCCTACACATCCCAGAGCAGTAAATTCCTAGTTGTTCAGTAATGGCTAAAGCAGCATGGGAGCAACTATCCCACCTAACCCTGGGCATCCTGATAAGCAGGACAATTTTCTGCAAAACATTTGCTTGTGTGACTAAGCGGTAAAAATTCAGAAACTACTTTTTTTGAGGGGTGATGGTGCAACAAAATGTAGCTCTCAAGGCAATTCAAAGGGCAAAGCAAGTTACATCTAACAGTAATTCACATCATTAGCATGTAACTTAGGCCTCCCTCTAGCAAAGCAGAACTGATACTGAGGTTCAAGTATCCACTGTTATGTCCAGCATAGTTGCCTACTCCAAAAGCCTGTGGCACAGGTACATTTCAGTGCAGTATACTACTTCATCGCTGGAGATAATCCAGGTGGGTGGTGGTTACCTGCCTGCAGATAGTCACTCCATTTTCATAGCTGTCATGTTAGTGTGCAGCCGTGTCAGAATCTCAGCTTTTTTGGTAAGGTGTAAAACCACTGCTTTTTATCATGCACCAAGGCAAGGTCATAGTTAGAGAATAACTAGAAAAGTGAGATCTATTTGTCCAAAGTCTAGCAAAGTAGTTTTTCCCGGGAGACTTAGCAGTGGTGTGGTGTTAAGTGGAAAGATTGACTTTTCAGTTTAACCACGTTAACAGTGCAGGTTTCATCAAGCCAGCACCCTTGTGCTAACCGCTGTGACACACATCTGAATTTTTAAAAGTTACCCAGAATTAGTAATTTTTGTTAACTGACAGATTCACAGTAGTGATTTCAACAGCCCAATACAACAGTACTCTTGGGATCATGATCTTAAACGCAGGGGAAATATTGTAGGTAGATTCTGAGTATTAAAAAAATTTATTTGTTGTAAATTTCCTCTTCTCTTGAGGCATAAAGCTGGACTCACGGTACTAATCGAACCTGCCTTTGCAGTGGGAGTATGAATCCTTGGTGCGTCAGTGTTAGCAAATTCACCGAAATGTGTATGAGAAATTATGTGGTTAGTGGCCTGTCTAAAGCAAAGTGGAGAAGAACGAAGATGGGAGTTACTGGCCCCTGCTTGAAATGGTGTGCTGGCTTTCTATAAATTATACTGGCCATTGATTAAAAATGCCCGTGCAGCTTTATTTATGTGGATGCTGCCTGGATCTAGCTGCAGGAGGAGGGAGAGGATGGTTTCACAGCTGTGCAGCCACAGCATCTGAGAGCGGGGAGCATGCACACCAAGCCAAATGCCGGCTTGTGTGACTGCCTGTTTTTCTTCCCAGATCAGCCAGCAGCAGTAGTTACCTCTCTGTTAGTCAGTGTTAGGATGGGAAGAGCATAATTGCCATCTGTAGGGGAATTGTGCCAGCAGGGATGCTGGGGTCATCGTCTGAGGCATCCTGCTGTGTTGATCCCATGTAATCCCAAATGTGATGGTGTGCCTGAACTTTCAGCAACAAAACAGATTAGAGCTGGTTTTACCTGCCAGCGTGTGGCAGTTGAAAAAGACCACAGTGCTCCATAAAAGAAGATTTAGTGCATTTATGGTATTCCCATTGAGGGAGTTTTGGAAAACTTCAATTCCTTAACTAGGAGGAGAGGGGCAAGCATTTGCTTGGGCTTCTGTGTGCTCAGCACAGGGGTGAGTCCATGATAGTTAGAGAAGTAAATTTGCATGTTTCAAGCTCAGGAGTTTTGCTCTAAGCCCTGGATTTCTACATCCTTAGGGAGGCCTGATAGGAAAAAACAGGGGTTTTTTTTTCTCCTCCTTCCACTTGTCTCCTCAGCTGTCCTGTGAAGACTCCCAGGCTGGTGGTAGTTTTGTTTCTGTATCTTTGCAGATGAGCAGCACAGCATTACAAATCCAACCAGCTAATGCTGTCATTAGTGCTAATGGGCTTTCTCAGACTGAGTTGGTGTCTCCTTCTCTGAAATGTAGCCCCATCTTTCCTTTCCTGGAAGTTTCTAAGGAGTGTCACACACCCTCCAAGAAACCTGAGGGAAAAGCTGAATTGGAAGAGGTGCTCTACACTGATAAGAGATACTTTTGTCCTCTGTTTGGAAGAACTTGTGGCAGTGGCTGACGCTTAAGCCCTAATGTGGTTTCTTTGCCCACAGAGGCAGAGTTGTCAGACGGGTAGTTTAGGACAAAGAGACTGCCCTGACCCCTGACCTCAAGCCACAGTCTGCTGTGTAGTCAGTCATCTGTCCCATACCAGAAAGCTGCATGTCAGCTCCTAGCTTGGCTCCCCAGTGGGGCTTCCATGGTGGCACAGGCCATGGCTTTGCAAAGCAGATGTTTTAAGTAGCATTGCTGGAGGCCTAGATTTTCTTCTCATATGCCCAAAAACTGATTTTCTCGTGGTGAGGAGGAGTAAGCAAATGTCCAGAGACCCTCATACTCCACTTGTGCTCTTTTTCTGGCACTTCAGCAAAGAGATGCTGGAACAAGCCCCTCTTTGTTCCCCAAATGTCCTGCCGATGCAGAGTCAAAGGAACAAGCTGGAATTCAAGACACTTCGGTATACTTCAAGATATTTAAAGGTTTGGAGCCAGTACAGCCTTGAGAAGTCTGTCCCAGCCTGGGTGGACTACTTGTTGTGAAAAGCTCCATCATTTACATGGGCTGTGTCACTGGTTTATTTCCTTTTTAACATGTGGCATATATATTTCTCAGGAACTGCCCCATTAGAGTGATGATAGAAAAGGAGCATATGTTACATGAAGTAGCTCCATCCCCTCCTCTTTATCTCTGTTCAGTAGCAAGGTAATGATAACGATTTCAGCCTTTGCTGTCTTTAGGAATAGGAGGACAAAAGGCACATTTCACTTCAACAAATGAAATACGAGCACTTTTTTGTACACATACAGAGAAATCCTCTGCCAGCAGTACAGACTCCAGCTGGACTGTTCACATCAGGCACGGGCAGATGTTGCATTAACTGGAGTTTATCCATACCTGAAAATTAATCTAGAACAGGCACAGTGAGAGTTTAAAAATGTGGAAACTATTAGCTGTCGCTGGGTCACTTTTGATTTCTGGGTCATCATTGGTCTGCGTGCACATGGGATTTGGGAATTGCTCCTTCAGGGGAATTCTCCACATGGGAGGGCATCTCTTGTGTGCAGGGCTAGCTTTCCAAAATAGCATCGGTACTGTTGTCATGCTGCCTCGGGCCTTTAACTGCATGAGCTTTTTTTTTTAATCATGGTGGTCATTTCTCCGTGATGGAGGGTTTGCAATTAATTCGGGATGAGAGGAAAGGGAATGGGAAGCTCCCAGAGCAGTTGTCTGGCATCCCGTGCCCACAGGAGGATTTCCCTTTCTTCCCACACACTCCTCACAGCATTTCCTTTCCTTTTCAAATAGGCATCATTCTCTCTTCCCACTTGTCCCTTGTATTCCTGGATGCTGCTGTTTGTTTGATTTCCTATTTTTGTTGCCATTGTCTTTGTATGTTACTTCATGTGTCGCTCAGCAAGTGTTGCCCATCTCTGAACTCTCACACACTTCATTGCCTTTGCTCATGGCTGCACTTCCAACAATGGTCAGGGCAATGTGGTGGGAGAGGAGAGGGGTTTTCTTAAGAGGTGACTGTAAGAGCATTGCCCAGCTGCATTGCCTTGCAAGCTCTTTGGTGCTGGAGAAGTATTACTGCACCCCCACCGCCCACCGCTTGTATTTTGTGGTGTCTATTATTTATGCTAGTCGTACTGTCCTTCAGTCTGAGGCCAGTAAACCTTTTTTTATGAGCTGTTTTCCCCTTGTCTTCTCAAATGCACTGTTTGCCCAGGCTGCCCTCTTCTGTACTGAAATAATAAGTCTGGTTTGTTGGGTTTTTTTCTGTTGCAGTATTGATAGTTTTGCAGTTAACCTTATTTAAGTGGGAGAAATGCCAGTCTCTTGTAGAAAATCTCATTTAATATCTTTTTCCCATCCTGTATTTATTGTGTTGAATATTTTATGTGTTTAACCATTCATCCACTTGTCATCTTGTGACCATGCTAATTAGACACTACCTAGGATGGTTCCAGATGAAGTCAATGCATTTTTTCCCCCTCCCAACTCTTCTAATTCTAAGAACAGTTTATTTAGAGAAAATGCCTGATGCATGTGGCCTGTGAAAACACAGTTACAGTGGATTTCCTTTTGGTATTTATTTACAAACCCTGTGTTTACTTGGAATGCTCTTTGACACATGCCCACAGTCCTGTGATTTACCTCTCTGTGAAGCACTGTCCCTACTGGAGAAGTTGTTGGAGACCTGATCCTCTAACAGTGTGTCTGCTTGCATAAACCTTGTTACTAGCTTCAGGCATTGATACTAATCTGCTTCAGCAGTTCAGAGGGTGGCAGATCCACCTTTTGTTGAGCAACACACAATAAAGTAGTAGACTTGAAAGACGTTTTCTGAGGCAACAAGTGCATGAATTACACATTAACACACAAGCTGTTTGTGCCAGGGAAGCGGGCTTGTCACGTTCATCGTCTGCGTTCATTCACACAATTAACAGGCAGCTTTGTTACAAGAAGGCCTAACAATATGAAACTTGAGCACCAATGTGAAACCTCATAGTGGCCATGGATACTTGATGCATTAGCTTTGGTGCCTTGTCTTGCAGTTGGACTTAACCGGAATGTAATGTGGGCGACTTAACTGCAACGTGGGCAATGTTACATCCCACAAAATCTGCTAGAGCCCAGCTGGGTGTTCCCATGCTGTCCTGCAACATTTCTGCCCTTAAGGTTGCCTTTGTCCTGCTTTAAGACCATCTTGCCACCCTGTCCCCAAACTAAAGTGTTCCATCTGTACCCCCTCACGTCAGGAGAGCATCCTGTCCAAACGGCATCTTGGTGGAAGTTGTGGGTTCCCCTGTGTGAAGAATGTCATAGCTGTAGTTCCAAATGTGTCTGTATTTTGGAGGTAATACTGGTTGTTTTTTCTCTCTTCCCTTCCTCTCGCCTGTCATTTGCAGATGTTAACGCAGGAGAACGAGTTCAGACCAATAGTGTAGCTACAGCATCAGCCTCCAACTCCACCTGAACCGGTACCAAGCAGCCAGCTGCACAGGAAAAATCACCAGTAATTTGAGTCTTGCTCAGCAACACTGGTCACATTTGGAAAGAAAATTAAAAAGAGGGAAAAAAAAAAAAACAACACAACAAAAACAAACAAAAAGAAAACCCACAACAAACCAACCAACCTGTTCATTTTAGTGTTCAATTTTTTATTATTGTTGTTCTTATTTAACCTTGTAAAATATCTATAAATACAAACCAGTTTCATTGTATTCTCACTCTGCAGGGTGTCTGGGGCAGGGGACTAGGTGGGGGGAGGAGGGAAAGCGGAGCAATACAACACACCAATGTCTCTCCCCTCGACAATCTCTTCATGTTGGAAGTTTGCTGTTGTGTACTTCAGAACCAGGACTCTTGCCTCATGCCCCTTCCCACGAGAGAAAGAAGGAAAAAAAAAAAACACAAAAAACAAAACAACCCCCCAAACCTCATTCTCTGCTGAAGTTCTTTTTTTTAACCTCTTTTTTTATTTTCTTTTTAAGTGAAGTTTCGGACTTTGATGTAGTGCACAGCTTGAATTTGGTCGGGAGCTTAGCAGGGGTCATTCAACAGCTCAGCGTTTCTTGTCAGCAAATCCATACCCCAGGTTGTCTGAAGAACTGCCCCGGCTCGGTCTGGGGAGTGGGCAACATGGTAGGAAAATAGCTTGCCGTGAAGCGGGAGAGAGGGTTTGCCGTGTGTCTAAAGCTTTGAACCGCTAGTGGAAGCCTTTTTATTTTTAAAAATCAGTGCTAGCGGTGAAAAAAACCTGCAGCTTCATTATGGGAAAAGTCTTACCCGAGCGGGTGATGTATAATATAATACACACACACATGCACGAACAGAAGCAGTTGGCTTTACAGAAGCAGCTCCTTTGCCCCGCGGGTCAGCTCCCATCTTCAGCAGAGAAGAGCGGACGAACAAAATCCTCGGAGGGGGTGGGGGCCCAGCCAGGGATGTTAAAGGACTTCTTTTTGAAAAGTGGCCACTATGGAAACTTGGGTTTATTTGGTTGTATTTTTCTTCTCTCCCCACTCCCAGACCCCTCCCTGCCTCTTGATTGGAACAGGCTTCCCTTTCGCAAGGTGCATACAGAAAAAAGGACACCAGGGTTTATAATGTGAACTGTAACAGTCTACTGGTTTATTTTGTAATTTTTCTTTTTTTTTTTTTTTTTTTTTTTCCAAATTTTTTTTTTTTTTTTTTTTTTTTTTTTCCAAACTGCAGTTTTAACTTGCAGGATGCCACATTCTCCGATAGTTTTGATTTTAAAACCACAGCCAGAATCTGTATTTAATTTCATCTTTTTTAACCTCTTGCTTTTTTTGATCTCTATTTATTGATGCGTGTTGCCACGTTGCCATTATGTTTTTACATTGGTAGAATATTAATAAAATACACATCCGAGTGCTCTCGACAGTAATTTGTACCTGCTGACTTGTAGGAAAGCTGGCTATATATGAGTGTGTGTGTATATATATTATATAAATATATACATGTATACATAGATACAATACTGCTTTTTTATTTTGTCTACGATCTTGAAACAGTCTGACTGAAGTGTGAGGTGAATGCTTGTTCTAGTCCATCTGTTCAGGGTCCGGGTTTCCTCCCTGTGACGGCACGTGGTGTGAGCATCCACGTCTCTCTTCCTGAAGTCAAAGCAATACTCCTCGGGAAAGGGTCGGGTGAGCGGCCGGACGCAGCCGCGGCGTAGGAACGAGACTTTTGGAGACCTGATCTTGTTGTAGCCTTGCAGTTTGGTGTCCACTCCGGCCTTACCCTCCTTCAGCGAAACTGTAGTTGCCTTTGGTGCTTATCGAGCTGTTACTCGACCTGTGGATCTCTAAGGCAAGCGGTTGCTTTTCGGGAACGCGCGGACCTTGGCGTGGCCCCGGGGGTGGCCGGCGGTAGCGGGTTGTGCTTGTGAGCTCGGTGCGTTTCTTCTTGTACCTTTTATCCTGGTGATGTGGGATTTTTTTGGAAACTCTCCTTAGCAGCCCTGGAGCTGATTAAAAGCCCTGCCCTCTTCCTACTGCCTGACACACGGGGGGTTTTGGGGAGGCAAGGAGCTGTTTTGAGAGGTGAGCGACCACCTACCGTGAAACCAATAAACCCTTACGTTATACCCCTCATCGATATGCTGTTGGCACACAAAAAAAAACCAAAACAAAACAGGTTTTAAAGCTTTTAGCTGTCGTTAAAGTCTGGCTGGCTGCAAAGGAAAGCACACCCACATTTAGAAACTGAAGGCTTTCCAAATCTGTGTACATGCAACTTCGTAGAAAGGGCTGAAGAGCGTCTTGATGCGAGAGCTCGGCTAGTCAGTGTCCCAAAAGGTAAGTGAAGGGGCTTGGCTGACCCAGTGATCCAAATAAATGCAGGGGACTCAAAAAATAGGGCAGTGGCAGGGTATGGAGCTGCTGTATAGGTGAGACTGCTGAAGCATTGTCCACAGATGCTGTTATTTGGAGGCAGTGAATTACCGAGTCTTTAACAGAAAAAAAAAAAAAAAGTAATAATAAAAGTAATGATGAAAAATTGCTGCTTGTGCCAGGAAATATGGCTTTTCTTCTTTTTTGCTTTATCTTTTAGTTTAAGACTGCTGGAGGGGAGTTAAGAGCTTATCTCTCTGGTTTTGTGACTGTGCCGGCGTCTGTGTGTGTCTTGTGTGTGTGTTAGGCTGGGGGGAGGGTCGGGGGTGCCCCTCTGGTTTTATTTCTTTTTTCAAGGATCATGGCAGGATCACACACTCTTTTATACAAGTTAGATCCAGGTCTTTGAATAACCTTTTTTGTAAATAAGAAGAAAAAAAAAAAAAAAAACAACAACAACAAAAACCACAAAGCTCCTCACCAAATTCAAGCTTGTACATTATTATTTTTGGTTGTTTTTGAATTTTGAGTTTTATTGTTTTGTATGTAAATATGTGGACCCAGGAACTGTTATTAATGAGCAAAAAGTTACCGTTCAGGGCAGTGATTCTGTTTAATAATCAGACAAAATGTAGACGAGCTTTTTAAAGCCATATAGTTTTAACTCTGTACAGTAGGTACCGGCCTGTATTATTGTAACAATAACTCTAGCGATGTATAGTGTATCTATATAGTTTGGAGTGCCTTCGCTTCCATGATTTTTTGAATTTTATTTCCCTTTTTTTTTTTTTCCCCTTTCTTTATTAATGATGTCTACCCTGACCCCCTGCCAAACCACATCTTTGCTCCCTCCCCCCCCCCGCCCGCTTTCTAACTCTTTGAGTGCTGTAAGGTTTCGGTGATACCCTGATCAGTAGCGGAACAAAAGGAAACCGTCTCCACCATCATCATCCATTTCATTGGAGCCGTGTGGCTTTGTTCTGGATGTCTCCAAGTTGCCCACCCTGCCCTCTCCTCTTCCCGCTAGCAGCGACCGGTTTCATTCAGACACTTGCCCTAGCAGCTCACTTAGACTTTGCTCGTCTCTTCCCGCCACCCCACCCCACATCCCTCGCCCTCCGCCAACAACTCCTACACCCGACTTCTGAGTGGCAGCAGCTTCCAGGAGGCTCAGCCTTTCCCCCCTCCCTGCGGCTGTGCCAGGGGCAGCGGCCAGCCCAGTGAGCGGAAAGGACCCCCGGGAGGGAGGGAAACCCCCTGCGCCCTGCATGGATGCAAAGGACCCCCGGGAGGGAGGGAGCCCCCCGTGCCCCACAGGGATGCTGCCCTCGCTCGAGCCGATGGGCCACAGTAGGAGTGGGGGCATCGCTGTAGGAGACTCTGGTGGGTTTTTTTTTCTGCTGGGGGGATTTTCTGTTCCCTTTCTTCTCCCTAATTTTTTTCCCCCCCAAACCCCTCCCCAAAATCACTTTTGTTTTCTTGAGATAAGTTTAACATGACTCTTGATTTCTTGTGCCCAGCACGAAGGCCTTGTTTCTAAAACTAGTTTGCTTGTGTTTTACTACCTTGTTAGTACTCCACATAAGATTGTCTTGAATGGGAAAACACTTAACTCTTTACCAAACCAAAGGTTGCTGTTTTATTTCGAAGCATCTCGTGTTCATTCCAGTGAAGCAGAGGCTGCACTTTCTTTCTGGTGACACGAAGGTCAGTGATGCCAAGCTGTTGGCAACAGTCTGCTCAGAGCTGTCCCTCTCTTCTTTTACTCTTTTGGGCTCATTTATTAACCCAGTCTGGTCTTGATCTGTCCCTTACGTCAGCCCTGCCTTGGCGTGGGTCTCTGAGCCTGACTCGATCGTAGTCTGTCTCCCCTGATGGACACCCTATCAGGCCGCTGGTGTTCTTTAATGTTAAACTTACCTACCTTGTGAGGGAAATTTTAAAAAAAAAAAAAAACACTTTGTCCCCTTGTCTCGAAGCCAAGCTTTACCTAAAATAATGGCAGGTGCCTGCAACTTGCAACTTAAAAATTTCCCCCTGGTTTTCAGTACTTGGAAAAATAGAAGTCAAGCAGCCTGTCAGACTCGTACTCCTGTACTAGGAACCTCAGCCACCGCGGATTAAAAGGAAAAGCTGATGAGGAAAAAAGCACAGTAGGGTATTCGGTCCGGGCTCTGCCTTTTGGAGACTGCCAAGCGGGTACCCCTGGGGTGGCAGCTGATTTCCACGGGGCTCTCAGCCGGTTCTGGTCGTAGTTGGCTTCGTTTTGCAACACTGCAATAACAGCAAAACGACAGGAAAGGAAAGCAGTACCTAAGGGGTTAGCTCGAGAAAAGTAGCTTCCTTGTGTTGGTCTTTCTCAATTTATTTTTAATATATATATATAAAAAATATATTTATATATATATAATTTGCTTGCCTGTAAAATTTGCGTTCATTAATGTGTTGCTGATGGATCACTTGGGCCTGTACACACCAATTAGCGTGACCACTTCCATCTTAAAAACAGAAATCTAAAAATATATATATATATATATATTAAGGACTGTGGGTTGTATACAAACTTGCATACACTTGTGCAAATCTGTCTTGATTTAAAGGAAAAGCAAAACCTGTATAACATTATTACTACTTGAATGCCTCTGTGACTGATTTTTTTTTTTTTCATTTTAAATATAAACTTTTTTTGTGGAAAGTATGCTTAATGTTTTATTATTTCCCCCGCCCCATTCCCCTTGTAAATACGTTTTGTTCTGTGTGACTCGGTTCGGAAATAGTTAACTGGTACTGTAATTTGCATTAAATAAAAAGTAGGTTAGCCTGGAAATGAAATTTAAAAAAATACCAAGTGTGTGGTCTTTATTTCAAAAACTTGCCCCTTTCTTTCCTCCTCCTCCTCTCTCCCTTCTCCAGCCCCTGTTCCTTGCCCTCATGCCTTTCCACTCTGCAAGAATAGGTGGACGTGAATCTTTGTAATAATAATGAAAAAAACACAAGAAATAAGCATGTTTTCTTAAATGAGCTGTGTTATTCCATGCTATTTTTCAAGAGATGCCAGCTTGTCTATGATACAGTTTGATTTGATGGAGAGAGGAACCCTGGGACATAAATATTTCAAATTAAAACCAACCAATCTTCCTTTACCGTCCACCTATAGATACGAACTTAAGAACCTGTGTAAACTGCTGGCTTTGAATCCTGCACTCATGGTTGTTTGGGGTTGGTTTTTTGTTGTTTTTTTTTTTTATCGTTTGATCCCATTAGTAATGTTATTTGGTGGTGATCTGTAAAGTTTGTCGAGACCACGTCCAGTGGACCGTTCCTCCAGCAAATCAGCACATAGCTATCTCTGAGTTGGGTTTCTGGTACTGGATAATGTATGTATTAAACATGACATGTCTATTAGCGCAAAAGAAAAAAAAAAATCCTTTTTTTGGGCTGGCTGACCTGGCCGAATCCATTCTGTCGCTATCCTAAAGGCTAGATGCGAGGTCATGTGACTGCTGCTTCAATAAAAACAAATTTATATTGCAAAGCGGCTCCTCTGTGGTTTGTTTGTGTGATGTGAGCCGAGGTCATCCTCATGAAACCTCTGCTGGGATCTGGGCTGGGCCCTCTGCTCTGGACCTGCTCCAGGAGAGGTGGGAGTGGGGCAGGAAGGGGGTCCTGGTCATGCCTGGGAGCGGGTGCACTGCTGGGGCACGGGGACAGCTGCCTCTGGAGGCCTGAGTTCAGAAAGGCCGCCTGTGCCTGAATTCAGCTGGAGAGGAGCAGAGGCTCTGGAGCACAGGTCTGATGGGGAGCGGCTGAGGGAACTGGGGGGGTTTAGTCTGGAGAAGAGGAGGCTGAGGGGAGACGTCATGGCCCTCTACAGCTCCCTGAAAGGAGGGTGCAGAGAGGGGGGATGAGTCTCTTGAGCCAAGGAACCAGCGCCAGGCCAAGTGGGAATGGCCTCAAGCTGCAGCAGGGCAGGGTCAGACTGGCTCTTAGGAAGGATTTCTTTGCAGAAGGGGTTGTTGGGCGTTGGAATGGGCTGCCCAGGGCAGGGGGGGAGTCCCCATCCCTGGAGGGGTTGAAGAGTCGGGTTGACCCAGCGCTGAGGGATCTGGTGGAGTTGGGAACGGTCAGTGTGAGGTTAATGGTTGGACTGGATGATCTTCAAGGTCTTTTCAAACCTTGGTGATTCTGTCCCTTCGCTTAACATCAGTCCCAAAACATCACTGGGGTTCAGGCTGCATCGCACTTGTGCTGAGACCAGGGCTGCTCTGCTCAACCGTGCCGGCCCCTGGCACTGAGAGTGACCAGTTACATCTGCAGAGGTATCACTGCCTGAACTACAGCACCTCGCTAGGTGAGTTTATTCATTTAAAGTTTCACATCACAATCCTTAGTAATCTGGGTGGTGGGGAATTATCCTTGGGCGCTTTTCTAGACACACACGCCCTGGGGCTTCCTGTGTCTTCCCTCACCAGGAATGCAAGCTGTGGGCTCTCCTTTTGTGCTGTTTTTGCACAGGAACTCTGCTCCAGTCTCAGGTCTGTTTTTCTGAATGTCAGAGCCCTTTGACTGGGACCCCTGTCTCACCAGCCACCTCATAACTTCTGGCTAAGCTGACTGGAAGGGGATCTTCCGCTCCTCTCCAATTGTCTCTCCTCTACGACTCTTTAACGCTCTCCTTAAGCAGTGGGTGCCAAAACTAGCCAGAGGTTTCCTGCAAGAGACTCCCCGGTGTCAAATAAAGGCACTGTAGAGCATCTCGCAGCTGGTGCCTGTGTCTCCTTACCTGAGGATTGTGTTTGCCCTTCTGTATGGAGGCTGCAATTGTCCAGTTTAGCCATCACTCACTCCCATTCCTGCAGACGTTATCAGTGGGACTTTTATAGTTCCATCCCAATCACCCTTCTAAAACATAAGATGAAACACATTAACACTAAGTGCCAGTCCCCGCACAACCTTCTAGGGGACAGCCATGCTGTCACCATTCCCCACGTGAAAATACCTTTTGAGACCTGTCAGTAAACCAAATTCAAATCCACTTAGTTGTCAGTCACTGGCACCTTTGAATGATTTAAAATGCTAATCCAAAGGCAAATTAGTACTGAGCTGAACACGGTACAACGGTCTGCGCTGCTGACATGCTTTGTCTTTATCAATGGAACTTCAAGGCAGCATCAAGGCCACTGACACTGTTATCTGGAAGGTGGCAGCTTTCAGGATGCTGGTGGTAAGGTCTGAGTTGCTTTCTGTGGGAGGAGAATGAGCCACAAAGGAGGGAAGCGAGCTGCGAAACGCGGATGGGAGAGCGGGAGCGCCATGGTTTGTGCCTGAAGCACCGAGTCCAGTTGCTGGGAGACAGTGAGCCCGGCAGATGGTACACAGTCTCGCTAGCCAGCCTTCAACCTTGCTCCCCTCCCTGGGCTCCGGGAAGGGTTTGGCTGGGTCATCGCCCTCTCTCCCCTCACAAACCTTGGCAAGGGCAGGGCTGCTCCATCTCTGCTGGTTTTGCTGAACCAGTCGTGCTCAAAGGCTGCAAGGGCAGACACGACCTTCTGCCAAATCTGAGCTGTGAGGGGAGAGGAAGGCATGGAGGTAGCCACACCGCACAGGGTGCAGCAGAAACCCAGGCTCACAGCTTGGTGTGAAGGTCATGAAACTGCTGAGGCTTTGGAGCAGACATCAGTCCCCCAGACAAACTCTTTCTGGTGCTTGTCACAGGAGACGGCGCAGGTGACAGCAGTCGGGACTGTAAGGGAGAGATGGAATCTGACAGCAAACACATGCCTTTGGTCAGTGCAGGAAGGCAGTCCTGGACCTTGTTGCATGCCCAGCTAACTCCTGATGTCCTGACACAGATGTTTTCTTCTTGGTATATCCTATTGCTCCCTGAGAGTCTGCATGCAGTCAGGTGGGCCTCCCGTGCAGTCAGCAGCGTTAAAGCCTTCTCTTTCAGGGATTCCCTGATCTCTGCATCACCCATCTCCGCTCGCACTCTCCGGGACAAGGTAAGTGAGGAATGAAAAGCCTCTTCCCGTGAGGCAGCTTGTGAGTGGCAGCAGCAGAGCATTTGTGAGTGGGGTGCTCTGCTGGAAGAGGCGCAGTAGGGCTGCCTGCCCAAGCCCAGGGCAGGCTGCAGAGCCCCCTCGCTTGCCACAGAGTGAGAAAATGTGGCTGCGGACAAATGAAACCTCTTCTCCAGGCAGAGTTGCCTGGCAAAGCACAGCCCCTTCCCAGCAGAGGGGCATGGGCTCTGTGTACAGTGGCAGAGCCGTGGGGCCTGGGGATCTAGTGGATTGCGAAGTAGAGAAATGGAGGGGGTTTGGGTTAGTTTTTTGTTTGAGTTTGTTTGGTTTTTTTTTTCCCCAGGCAAAGTTTTTAAAAACTGTTGGAATCCAGGAGTTAGAACAGGACTGTTCACCTTAGCTCACTGCTTGAATGGCCTGTGCTTTACACCTCCTCCATGTGCGGAGCACCCGTGGGGTCCGTATGCAGCCTCTGACACGGGAACGCATGGCAGGTCTTGTCAGAGGGAGGCAGCAGGGGCTGCAGGGAGTGAGGCAGGGGCAGGCACGTGGTAGGGGATGGCACATGAGCTTGAGAGGAAGCAAGTGAGCTTGAGAGGAATCCTCCTCTCACCTACCCTGTTACACTCTCCACAGAGACCTGACAGGAGGTTGTAGCCAGGTGAGGGTTGGTCTCTTTTCGCAAGTAAAAAGCAGTAGGACAAGAGGAAATGGCCTCAGGTTGCACCGGGGGAGGTTTATATTGGGTATTAGGGAAAATTTCTCCACTGAAAGTGTTATCCAGCACTGGAAGAGGTTGCCCAGGGAAGGGGGGTGTAGGTGTGTAGACATGGCACTTAGGGACATGGTTTAGTGGTGGTCTTGGCAGTGTTAGGTTCACAGTTGGACTCAGTGATCTTAAAGGTCTTTTCCAGCCTAAATGATTCTGTGTTACGGCATAAGAAATGATGTGTCCTTCTCCCTTCTGCAGCTTGTTCCTGTAACCAAACCCTTTGTCAGGCAAGAGCACTCGGGAGGCAGACGGTGATTGCTGGCAAAACCCAGGTTGTCTGAGGGTGTTTTTGCTCAGGGAGATGACGGATGTTTGGGATGCTGACCTCTGTTAGCAGTCTTGGGAAATGAAGGGGACTACCCAGCTGGGGTGTCTTTGGACCATCTCAGTTACATCTCATTCCTCCTTCAAGATTTTTCTTTAATGGCACCAGGCTGAGGAATGGGTTGATCAATGGAAGCTGTTTCTGCTAGAGACAACAGATTTGGGGCCTGCACAGCAATGAAAAATGGTTTGCTTTTGGCTGGAGGTGAAAAAAATTATGTGGCCAGGTGGAGAAAAGCTTCAATAGGCAAGGAACCAACATGGTGGCTGCAAGGGGCTTTAAAGGGAAGGGCTGGATAGTACTGGCTCAGGAATAAAGAAAAGGGAGATTCATTCTGAGCCTCCATCCTGCAGCAGTTAAGGAGAGAAGAGTGAATGCAGCTTTCCAGTCTCCATAACGCCGGTGGGAGCAGCTGCTTTCCAAATGTTAGCGACGTAAAACGGTGAGAAGATGCTGGCCGAGAAGGGTATTTAGGAGAAGATTTAGTGCGCTCTCAGTTTAGGGGCTACGTAATAACCCTGGTTACATATTTGAGGCTTCTTGCTGCATCTGTATTCAGAGCACTGGTGTTGTTCACGCTCAGCGCTCACGTTGTCACCAAGAGCAACAGCATCGGGTCCTCGCTGCGCAGCTGCAATTAGCTCACTGCAATTTGCATTGCAGGTAGCGCCGCCTGCTTCCAGCCACTGCCCCAAGGAAAAGGATGAACATCCCCACGCCTGGCACTGACCCAGGAGCTCCAGGACAGGCAAGGAGCACAGGTTACTGTGAAAGCTCCCCGCTGGGGGAACTAGAGGTAGGGAATCTCAGGCAGCTGGGCACAGGCTGGGCCGTGCAACAGGTCCAACACCCTGTAGCTGAGTGGCCAACAGCCGTGGTGGGTGTTTGCAGGGGTGGCCACAGCGCTCAGGTCTGTTGGGGACGGTGTGCTGAGCCGGGCTGGCCCCCCAGTAACAAGTGATACAGGTGAGCAGGCCAGGAAGGGAAAAGGAGCAGGGTATCGTGAAGGATTGGGCTTTGGCACGTGGGAACAGGCCAAGTGGAGCCTGGGGAGGTGGAGTAAGAGGTGTGTGGGGTTGACCAGCATGTGGGAGAAAAGAATGAGAAGGAACGAGCGATACAATCAGAGCAGGGAGCCAGAGCTGCCTCTCCTCATGGGGTTTCAACGTACACCCTTCCCACTGGCGCGCCAGGATTGTGTCTCTCATGCAAACAGTGCCCATTGAGATGCTTCCCCTGCCAGCTCTGCTCCCAGTGGTGGCGGTGAGGTGGGGGCCTTGCTCCAGAGTGGTTCCAGGCAAACTGAATTTACTAGTCCAGGTGTACACATTATGTCTGGGGGAGTTGGCAGTTCGGGCAGATGCTCAAAACAATTCCCAGCTCTCCGGTGGGGTGGAGGGCTGGTGTAGGAAACAACAGCTCCTCCTCCAAGCCCAGGCCTGGCTCTGGAGGGCACTGAGGTGAGGAGGCTGCTGGATGCTGAGAAGATACCGTCTCACCATTTGGAAAACCTGCATGAACAGGATTCAGTGGCTGCAGGGAGACAGGATGGTGTGGAGGAGAAATCAGTGCAATTGGACCCTGTTAAAAGCATATGAGGACCATACTTGTAGGGTTCTCCCTCTCCAGAATTGTGCAAGGACTGATTTGAGCCCAACAAATTAGCGGGCAGATCCCGTGCACGTGCGAGACCAGGAGCAGAGAAAACAGCAGCGCTCAGAAAGCGGCAGGAACTCTTTTCTCTTTTAGCTGCTCCACAGCCAGCTCTACAGCCACAATTTTTGTGATGGTCACGTAGCTTTTAAGGGAGGCAGGAGAGATGGGAGACTACAGGTTTGCTGTGGCTATATGTTGACAAAAACGTAGCTATAGTAAGTGTCCAGAAAAAAAAAAAAAAAAAAAAAACTTTTTTGCTGGCCTGAGCTGTAGTCACCGCGATAGGATTTCCTCCTTCCGCACTGCAAGAGCCCTATTGGCAGGGAAGACCCAAGACAATTTGCATTCATTCATTTACTGCAAAGAGACCAATTTTTCACCATTCTTCCGGCGCAGTGACCCTAGAGGCTCGTTTGGTTCAGCCCGTCTCCCCCACCTGCCGGGATGCAGGACCCGGCAGAGCGGCACAGCCGGGCTCCCCCTCAGTGGGCAGCTGGTGAAAGAAAAGCGGGACAAGCAGAATTTCCCCAGTGTTCCCACTGTATTGGCACAGCCCCGGAGGCATCTGCTGTGTTTGTTTCGGGTACGGGCTCCTCCCCGGGGTTGTCTGGCTCCTGCTAGGACAGCAGGAATGGTGCATTCTTGTGCTGTTGATTTATGATGCCAATCCCCTCTCGCTGGGTTCGTTTTCTTTCTCAAAGCACAGTCTGCGAAGCTTGGAAAAAAAACCAAACCTGCCGCACATGACAACCGAAAGCAGTTTCTAGAGCAGTTTCCTGCAGGAATCCTGCCCTGGCCTTCAGTTTACAGGCTCGGCGGTGTCATGTGGAAAAGATGGCTTTACCCTGACGGTGTACCTTAAATCATAACAGAAGCCAAGACATTTATAGCTCAGCCTGCACATAGAATCTGGAGTCCCCTGCCCCCTCGTTCTCCTGCCGAGGGCTGTGTCCCTGCAGAAGAGCAGAGTGCTGCAACCTACATCCATTCCCACACCTGTTGGAATACTTATCTCTTTAAAACCACGTTGAATTATACAAGGAGCCACGGGGACAACGTTTATTTCAACATGCCATCTCTGAAATACAGTAAATGCCTCAGTGGATCGGTCTTCCTGTTCTACTGTTCTGCTGTATCAGGTTTTCCATGTCTCTCTTATTACATTGGATCTTGTGATCCACGTTAACCCCCCTCTTTCAGCCAGTCTAAATTTGTCCAAGGTGGCCTGAGGCAAAAGAGCTGATCCCTGCACAGCTTCTCCTCCCACACTGTGGAGAGTGTTTCTTTCCACGTTTTTGCATTTGCTACCTTCCCTTTTACTGACCAGCTATGTATGCCATGAGAATTTTCCCCAATCCCCAGACCCTCGTGGGGTCGTCCTCGGAGTCCTGACCAAATCTCATCACTCGCCTCTGACTCCTGCCTGATTTTGCAGTCCTTAGAGGCTGCCTGACCTCTCCGGTCACCAGGCCCCTGGTTCAGCGACCTGGAGATCAGCAGCGGCTTCTTGGTGCAGCTCAGTTTCCTCTCTCCAGTTCTTATTCACAGCTCAGTGGAATACGGGAGTATTCAGACTTTTTTCCTCCTCTCACGCTCTCAACTCCCCGCCGCTCCCCCTCCCCTCCCAGCCCAATCCACAAAACAGAAATCTGACACAAATTTTTTTTTCCAGGAATGCACTAATGAGCCTGAATTTTTGACCAGTTGCTGGTTTGTGTTTTGAAGGAGCAGGATTAGTTCGCTGGAGCACACCTGAGGTGTTACAGACCCAGCTCAAAGAACGGGCTGTCATCAGTGACAGAGAAATGAGGGACCCACACAGAGATCAGCCTATTATCACGTTAGGGCTGAGAGCCAATACTCCGATTTGTTGCAGAAGTTGCAGCCATCAGTGAGTAAGCAGTTTGGGTGCGGTGTTGTGGCTGTGCCTGCTCCTCCAAAAGCTGCCGCGTTTGATTTTGCTGTCGGTGTAAACGTGCCTTTCAGATGCTCAACCCACAGACCTCGGGAATTTTGACAGGTGGGTGCTGGGGGGCTGAGCGAATGCCTGACAGCTCTCTGATCAGAGGCACTGCGCCTGTCTGCAGCCTGCCGGCTCCTGACATCCTGAGCTGGAGCACCCCCGTGCTTGCAAACAAGGCAAAGCCAGCAGCCTTTCTGCCTAGTCCCCTGGAGCTGCGGAGTGACTAACGCTGTTCCAAGAAAAATAAGATTCTTTCCAGAATTGTTCTCCTTTGGGATGGTGAAAAGCAAGAAGAGGTCAGCTCAAAGAGTAACATTTCTGGAAAAAGCCGTAAGCACGGACTAATGGGTTCTTTGCACGACCTCCATCAGCCCCCTCCGTGACATTCTGCTATCACCTTGCATAGTGATTAGTGCCAGACACTGCCTGGTTGGCAGGAACCACTCTGCCGAGGTCAAGGGCGCCTTTTCTTTATGCAAGGACTAATTATGTGAAAAGATGATGCAGGATCTGACTGGTTTTGTTCAACACTTTATTAATAGCAGTGCTAATGCAGGAGGCCACTCTGCTTTACTCCACTGAGGAAATCAGTGGGACATGCTTGAGAAAAGATTCTGTTTATGGTCCCAACTCAAAATTTCCCATTGCTGGAATATTTTTTCATTTAATGTTATTAATGCAAGGAAATACCATCAAAAGTCCAGGTGCAGATCTTTATTGGTCTGTGTCAGGAAAACAAACAAGGAACGCTAACACTCCTTTCTCACTCAAGCTTCTTTTAACAATTAGAAGAGGAAAATTAGGTAATGAGGTTCAAAGCTAGTTGGGGAGGAGGTGGAGGGGGCTGGACTAGGACTACCACACCAGAATGTATAGAGTGGTTCCAGGACAACATTGTTGGCAGGCAGCAAGAGGGAGAGCCCCAGGAAGAGAGAGGACTTTCCATTCTGATTGCCCTGAAAAAAGTAAATATAACATGCTTCTCTCTCCACCATGCTCCAAGCTCAAATCACAGAGGGGAAGGGGAACTCACCTGGTTCATCTTCTGCCCCTAGGAGGCTGTGGGAGCCTTGTCTGATCCATCAGAAGGGTTCACTGCCCTCTCTCCTGGGCTTTCTTCACACAGAAGTTCAGCTGGTTTACGTGCAACTGGGGCAGAGCAATTGCTGTCAGCTGTTCTTGGCCCAGCAGCTGTCCCGCTCCGAGCAGCACTCACTGTCCCAGCGGGAGGATCCCCCTTTGTCTCACTGGCAGATGTCTCCCGCTGTAGTGCCAGATCAGCCACTACCCTCTCTGTGCCCCCGTGGATGATCTGATGAGCAGCATAGATGTGTTTTCTTTGGGACTGCCTCACTGCGTATAAAAAAACAGAGGGAAGACTTTAATTGGAAATGTACAGCAAAGCGTTCTCCATAGGGGAGAAGGAAGAGATAGCTTTTAGTCTTCCTGCAGCTGTGGAAAAGCCTATCTCAAGGAGAAAAAAAAAAATAAATCACGCCCTTCTAACTTTGGCTGAAAGCGTTCTACTGCCACCTAATAGCAGCAACCAACTTTGCATTTCACTTTGCAGACTAACCCCCACAGTGGGAAGCACAGCCAAAGTGGTTTCCTTTCCAGCTAGGGCATAACTGCCCAGGATAGGTTATCAGGCTTTAAAATAACTTCTCCTTCAGTGTCTGTTAATTGCAGCAGGCCTCTGGAAGACTGGAGCTGAAATCAGCCCTCTCCCGTGTTATGATTTTGCCTGCACTGAGAAACTTGCTGAGTTCAAAGTAAGGGAGACAGCATAGACACAGTAAATCACGGACCTTATCGTCTCCCTTCTGCTACTGCAGGCTTGTTCTTTACTCTGTTTTACTGTCTTCATCCAATCTCACTCGTACATCTTTCCAGCCTACCTCTTGGGAAATAATTACCCAAGGCAAAGCATTCACCCTACAATCCTCTTGCTGCTCTTCACTCTTCTTTGTTCCCTTGTTCTCTCGCTAGACTTAAGATGCTGGTAAACATTCATGGGGGCTTATAAGGAGGGTGTGGGGAATGTTGCAGGAACGAGCTGTGGCTCTCATTGTGTCACTTCCCCGGAAAAGCCCAAGACTTCCTTGTTGCTTTGGGCTGTTATTGTTGTAAGGCTGAGCTGCACTTTCACTTGGAATCTGACCCAGTGGTGTCTTGCATGGTGTCACACAGTTCTGCCTCCTGTCACTGACTCGGTTGCTCAACATTAATAACCTGTCCTGCTTGTGTTTAATCCATCTCCCAGGTCCATTTTGTCAGCAGTGAATGCAACTGGATCTCTCTTGCATTTGAAAAGCTGACCTTCACCAGCCAGCTCTCAATTCCCAGGAGAGCTTTCTCTACCCAAAGCATTTTGGCTTTAATCATGTGTGCATGAACTGCATCAGCTATACTAGGAGTACTCTCCTAGTATTGCTGCAGTCCCTTCCTCCATCCACAGGGAATTCCATCTAAAAAAAAAAAAAAAAAAAGCAGGCTCAAACTGTTGAGTGATTGTCCTTTTAAAAGCAAGTTTTTTCATATCAGCACATTGACTTCTACTTCCAGTGAGGGAGGGTTCAGAAGTGAGGTGCAGAGGGGTTTCAGCCTGAGCCAGTATTGAATAATCGTTGCTTTTATGCATCGCAATGTGACAAAAAGAAGAGAAAAAAAAATAAGAGAAGACTAGGTAATGGCAAAATAGAGGTGTTTAAGAGGAAGCTAAAGCATAGGCAAAGTGCAGGCCCTCAAATTTTTGTTCTACAAATCGATTTGTTCCTCTGGCAGGCCAGACAACTGTGCTCTCAGATCACTCCCTGCTAGTTTCAAGGCAGGTGTATGTTCAAGCATGTGCCAGGTTGCTAAAACACAGCTTCATCATGAATCATCTGGCTTGCTATAGGGAAAGCTTTAAAAGCTGCCACAGGAACACAATGCAGTGATGTGCTCATGAGAGTTACTGCCATTCTTTGATACTATTTCCCTTGGATTTACATGGAATAGTTACTGATTCTGCTTCCCTGAAGGTATCCCTGTGCAGGAGGTTTAGGGCAGGGTGTGTTCATCAGAGCATGCGTCTGGTAGAATCCAGCTCTCTCTGAAGTGTATGGAGTCCACCCCATGCAGCAATAACAGAAAAGAATATGAGCCAGGTCTCTTCCTGACATTTGATGTCTGCTGTCACAAGAATACATCGTGGCAAATTTCACTTGTTCACGTTTGGGTCTAGCTCTGCTTTCCAGGCAAACCCACTGCAGCTATCACAGATTTTTTTTTTTCTTCTGTTGCTTGAGAGTGCTTCTCAGGTGCTTTGTTTGTTACCTGCTGTTGCATTTATTGTGCTGCTGTTACACATATTTTCTTCCTTGATGATACCTCTATGTCTTCAGAATGCTGGGCCATCTCCAAGTCTTTTCTTTCTGTTCTCATTTCTGAGACAGACTAACCTGTGTGTGTTAGTGCCTGAGCTGCAGGCTTCATTGACTAAAATTACATCACCTGCTTCAGCAGGCTTGCAGAAACAGGGCTAAGGAGAGGGGAGCTGATTTCAGCTTAGGCAGAATTGCCAGCTGCTGAACAGGTACTGTTGTCGTAACAAATACACAAACTAGGAGGAAGAAAGTTTGGACAATTCAGAGACCACAAACTCTGTTTGCAGGATTTGTGTTTTCATTCACAAGCAACAAAAGAAGCAAGTGAAGTAAGTGCCTTTGTTCTCAAGTCAGAGAAGTACACTGCGGCAAGGACCACTTCAGACTCTATTGTGACACAACTGCTTTTTTGTGGGTGACAGGTTTAGTCACGGTCTTCTGAGTGTGCTGGTCAGTGGAAACATCCCAGTTAAGAACAGCCATTTGGTGGTGATACTTAATGGAACAGGGAAGTTTTCAGGGCCTTCCTGTCTGTATTTTGACAGATACTATTCCGGTTTGGCTAAACAGAAGCATCCTTTACAACTGCAAGATTATCTACTTAAAACATGATGCCACTACAGCCAACCCTAAAACCTTGTATTTGCTTTTAGCTCTCAATCAGTTAGGGGGAGGGGGAATGAACAGGAAAGCATATAATCTTCCCTCCACTAAGGTTGAAGTTAAAGACTTCTACAGTTTTTAGAAATTGCCATATAACAGACAATTCACAGCCATGCTACTTAAAGACTTCTCCCAGTTTGTTTCTGAAGGTGCTATTGGCTGCTTTTTTCATGTAGTTCTATTGTTGCAGACACACCAAACGTACATCAAGTCTGAATTCAGATCACTGTTTTAAATTTCATGAGAAATTGCTGAAAAAGGGTCAGAGGGCTTAACTTTCCACCTGCAGAGGGCAAAAGAAGAATCTCAGAGAACTGAGACAACTCTTGGCACTGCATCTTTCAGTCAGTCAGAGTGAGGATGGGTGGACCAGTTCACGAAGAGAATAAAGTCACTGGACTCCTTACCTTTTTCTCTGATAGACATTTTCTCAGCTTCCGGAATCAGGAAATCATAAACCAGCTCTGCTACAATCTCTTCTGACTGTAGGTGAGTTCGACTAGGGAACAGGTGCAGAGTGGTATTAATATTTTAATTTTCTTTCCAGATCATCTCTGCAAACATGACTCCTTTATAAATATCCTTACTATTGGGGATAGTGGGTCTCTCTTTGTCCTACAAATAGGTGACAGTGTGACTATTCCCCTTGCACTGCACTGCCAATGTGTTCAGTACTGCACTGAAAAGCAGTATTTCCAGAGAGAAGATCACCCTAGACTCCTCTGCCTCGAAGGTGTTTAGAAGCCCAGTTCTCACTGATGACAAACTGAGTTAGACACGCAGATACCTCTAAGGATTTGAGTCTTTGTCAGTTTAGTCTTTGGCTTATTGCTGAGTTTGCTAAATTCTTCCCTTTTGTGACGCTGCATTTGGCTGGTCCCCGTGCTCTTTTCCATGCCAGTGTTTGGTGGGTTCCCAATTGGCCCAGAGGCTGCATGCATTATTTACGCTTCATTCTCCCCAAGGATTTCAACATTCTGGTTGTATTCATCTAGTTACAAAATACACAGCTGCTGTACCATAGGAGAGTCACTGTGTCATTGGGATTTTTATGGCTCAATTCCAAAAAAAGAGCATAGAAACTGAACTGGAGGTTTGGCAGGTCCTAAAAAGTATTCACTGCTGATGCCCCAGCCAAACACAAGACTGTGGTGTTCTCAACAACTTACTCTACTCAAAGTGCCTTGTCAGGCAGCCATCAATATGACTGACCCCCATGGAAATTGGCAGTTTCTTAAAGAACAGCCACCCCAGAATGAAAGCCTGCTGTATAGCTGTATCTTTTAGCATCTCTTTCAAACGGATTTTCTGTAGTAGTGTAAATAAATGAAAAGACCAGTGTGAATGGGTATTGCTTTAGGCAGTTCCCAGATTCACTTAAAGCTCAGTCACAGCATCGCATTGGCATGGAGAAGTCTAAAAAGGGTGATTCACAGATCCCACGAGTGATTTGCAAAGGGAATCTGGCACATGCTGTATAGAAAGAAGGCTCGGATGGATTTATATGTGTGTAGTAACAGTGTGGTTCCCATACAGCAGTCACGCTAACGAAGTGATCGTGAACAGTACTGCTCTGCCCTTCCTATGTCTTAGATTATACACGTAAGCACAGATGCAGATAGGCAGGCAGGTCCTAAACTGCTGTAAACAGCCTCTAATGTGCTGTTTAATAACGTACCGACTTTCCATTTCATAAGCAATGTTGTTGATTTCTACAGCCATTCTCTGAACCTCTTCCCTGGCTTGTTCTTCGGCTGTGTTCTCCACGGTACTCAGGATAATGTCTTCCAAGTAGGAGTCAATAGTGCTCTGGTGCACTTTCACCACCTGGAACAAAACACCGAGATATTGTTCCTCTGCCTATTGCTGGGCCAGGAGTGTGGTGGAAACAGAGCTCCAAAGCAGCAAAACCAACAGATTTTCACCAGACTCTTTAATTTCAGGCAGGCCAGCCTGAGATTTGATTTGAGAGGTGCTTTCTGGGAAGAATAACTTGTGTAAAAATTTATTTTCTAATCATTCTTTCTGAGAACTAATTGAACAGAAACCAGTGCAGGAAAGAACCAGTGGTAGAAGAAAAACTTATTCTCAGATCCAGTTCTGTTGCAGCAGGTTAGTTCTGTGAATGCAGTGGCAGTTGCTTTGTCAGTTCCTCATGGTCCCCTGAGTGACAACTGCAAATAATAAACATCAGTATTGACTTCAGTAGATTAATCAGCATTCAAGCAAATCCTGAAGGAAAAGGTTCCAACAAGCTTTTCAAAGTAATATGAATAAAACCAAGATAAAATTATTGGTTTCCCTATGATGGTTGTAGAGCAGAGATTCTAGAAACGGGTGTTTTCCTTCTGCTAGTCTGGAGGGCATAAGCTTATGGCACTTTGACCCTCCTTGCTTCCCACTCAGAGATGCAGAAAGGAGGAGAAGCTAAAATTAAAACAAAAATAAACATGATGCCAGGCTCTTGGTATTAACCTCCTCCCACAAAGTTTGAAAATTATTGGTTTAGTCAATTAGGCTCCCACTCATTCCTTTCAACTGGGAGAAATATGCTTCATGCAGTCAGGAGCTAGGGAATAGGACTATAGAATAGTTGTGGACTGTGGTAGTTCAGGACTTTTGTTTCTAGATTTCAAGGTTATGTTATCCGTTATCATTACTTCAAAATAATTTTTGTACCTCTCATTATTAGCAGTACACTTTTGAGGGCAAAATCATTCCAAAACCTTGCTTAAAGGCATCCTTCCTGGGAGAGCACCTAATAGTTCTGCGAGCCAAAGTGCTGTCAAAATAATATTCCTAAAGATGATCTAGGTACATCTGCTCTCCATAGGTGTTTGTTGTGGAAATTTAGAAACCTACATTCATCCATGATGTGCCAGACAGGACTGTCTGTAGGGGTATTCAGATCATCCTTAATTTAATGGGCATGACTCCTTTAGGAAGGAATCACCCTCTCTTTTCTATGTCTCAATTTTAAAACTTGCCATCACTGAAATCAGAGCTGAAGCACCTCCCTTCCATCTGGACTTTCCCACAAGGAAGTGGTTCCTACAAACCATCCATAGTCCCACCAGCCTCCCTCTCTTGCCTGTCTGAAAATCTCATCTTCTTCCCGCCGCCGCCTCTCTTCCACCTGACGACGTCCACTCTCCTCCGCTTCCCGCATCCGCCTCTGCCTCTCAGCCAACATGACAAAAGCGTGGATCTTCCGTTCTTCTTGTAGCCTCACCAGCTCTTTGGACAGGAAATCAAATATGTTTGCCAGTGCCCTTCCTTCTTCCCGAGCCAAATGGCTTTCCATTGATGACAACTTTAAAAAAAAAAATGCGAAAAATTGTGTTACAAACCCCAGGAATGTTTTTCAAAGTCCCAGGACTATCACATGTGAAACAGCTCTGTAGCATCCACTCAGACCAGCCATGGGACAACCCTGTAGGAATTTTGCATTCTTCTTGTTTTACATGTGCTGGCCTGGATTCTGCATAATGTAATGTTCCTGTATGTAGGCTCTGATGGCATAAAGAGGCTCAAAGATGCCAAAACTAGTCAGGGTGGGAATAGTCCTAATGGTGTCACACTAGGACAAGCAGCCCCTGTGCTTGAGTGGGTGAGAGGAGATAAAGCACAAGACACTATGTTCCAGGTATTACGAACTGCTTTTGTGGCTGTGACTCTGATCTGAATAGTTGCTGAGGCCATCTGCTTGTTACTGGGGAACTCTCTGCTGCCCAGACCATAAGAGGGGATGTATAAAAGTGACAGTGAAATTACTTCAGCTGCACACCCTCCATCTTTCTCTGCTAAGCTTAGCTAGATCAGAACAGAAAAACAGGATCCAAAGTTGCAAATGAAGCTTCTTTCTAACATTTGGAAATTAAACCCTCAATCTTTACAAGCAGGAAGCTTTAGGAAACTCTAACTGTGAGTACATCCACATTTCTATCCTCTTCTAAAGATATAAAATGTTTGTTACAGTTCCAAGCCACCTCAGTGAAACGGTATGTCCTTTTTTGGTTGGATATTCATGATGTGACCGAAGTGATTCAACATGCTGAGATAATGCAGCAACCACGAGTCCCTAAAGTTTTAGGTATTGAGTTGCTACCTAAACCTGTACAAGTTACTAACTGCTAACAAATTCAAATCAATAGGAATTCTATTGAGTTTGTAGAAGTGCAGACAAGACCTCAAAATTCCGGGTAATGGAAAATCAGAAAGTCTGTGACAGAGCTGACACTAGATTGCAGGTGTTCAGCGTTCCTGTGTCATTCACTCCTTGTTCCAAACATATCATCTTTTATGGGTTGGGTACGTGGGACTGCACTTTGGAAAGGGACAAGATCTATGGTAAATTCATTATCTCCAGTATGTACTACAAAGTCCCAGTCCTTGGCAGGAGGGAACGTCTGGAACTGGCTGGGATGTGGTGTTTCTGTTGGAATAAACAGGCAATAACAGAGTAGACCTGAATGTAAAACTCAAACTGGAGCTGAAATACCCCAGACAAGTAGTAATACATCAGCCTTCTTATATTGCTGTGTCATTTGCTCATTCAGTGTTTCAAAGAAAGTGCTGCACACATCTAGAAGTGACAGTGCTTCACCCATGCGTGTTTGCAATGGAGGATGGCAATGCAGTAACCCCACAGTGGGGGATAACATTCAACTACGGTGCTGCTTCCTCTTTAGTGCTCTAGGTGCTGTGTCTAAAACTGATGTGAAATGGAGGAAAACAACCCAGGAACACTCTTGTCTTAGACTTCCGTTAGATATGAGGTTGGAAATTTTCAACCCCTCATCTCTGACCATTTTATCTGGAGTTTCTGTCCTCTTTCTGCATGAAGTATTTCTTGAAAATTGCTACCTCTTATACTGGAAAGGTCAGAAACCTGAAAAAAACTGGGACCACCAAAAACTATAGAATTGTGAAGTCATCAGTGACTTTCTAAAATAGCCACGCACATAGAAAACTCCTGCACATGCATTCCAGAGAGTTTTAAAAGTTCAAAATGCTTGAAGACCTGAGCCTTGGACTGTGTGCTTTCAGAGATACAGTAAAAAAAAAAAGCAAGAGTAGAGGAGGTAGATACCAGCAGAAGGGGATAGTGGCTCTCCCAAAAGGAAATGCTGAGTTCAGGGGTCAGCATCTTTACCATTTGCTCTCTTTCCTTCTCTACGAATTCCATTATGGTGTCTGAGCTTCTCTCTCCTTCATTATCACCTGGGCTTCCAGAGGAGAAAGAGCATTTCAAGTTTGTAATGCCTAAGGCTTTTATTTTTCTCTTAATTCCTCAGTAGAAAAATTCCATATTCCTGCATTCCACACCTGGGCTCCCTGTGTGTGAGGGAGCATCTGGAAATGATAAAAGTAACACAGCCACGCAGTTCAATTTTTACTGAGATCTGAGGGTAAATTTTGTGGCCGCCCACCCAGCAGGAAGCAGTGGTCTGGTTTCATCTCCACCAGGCCAGCTGGCCAGTGGATGCTGTCATCATAACCTGGAACTTGCAGAATTGTCTCACAGCTGGTCATTGAAAAAACAGGAGAGTAGTAAAAACTATAGGAAAACCTGCAGGAATGTAGGAGATACTGTATAGCTAAGATGCAGTGAAGTCTGGACAAAATTTCTTTATGATCCATTTCAGACCAGCATCTACCATTTGATTCACTTTGCTCTGGAAGGTTGTGGCCCTGCAAGGAAATAGGATGGGAATTTGCATCCTCAGCTCTCACTAGATCCTTGGCAGAGGATGGGGCCCAAAATTGCTCTGCTCTGCGTAACAGTGGCAAGTACTACCATGTGACACCATTGCTAAGGTCCTGGGAGTCTTGAGCCCAGCAAGGCTTATAAAGTAAGTCAGCTTTGGCTTCTTTTGTGATGTTTTATGCCTGAGGAGGAGCCTGAGAGGGTGCCAAGCTAGAAAAGGAACATGGGAACATTCAATAAAACATCTGACAGATGCAAGTGACAATCATGTATTGTAATGCCAGGGTCAAAGCACCAGTCAAATGGATTGAAATGTGGGAAAACTGAGGTTCATCTGACAGTGCAGTTTGTTCAAAGCCCTGTAAATATAAATAAGCACTCTGTCTGCAAACAAAGCAAGTGCAGCCTGGGTAGCAGCTGTGGTCAGGGCACCTCAGTCTGCTTCTGAGATTCCCTAGAGCTCCCACAGCAGTGAGAGTGCAATTTTAGCCCCTTAAGCATTCAATGCTTGGCCTGTGCTAGGAGACCGTTTTTGTTACTTGGGGTGCCTTCTGTGCTGTGGATAACAGAAAACATAAATTAAATACGAGTGTGTTGGTGGCACTGCAAGCACAGAGCACCCGGTGAGGACAGTGTTATGAATCAGCATTCCCATCTATACAGGCAAACCTTGTGCATTTGCAAGTCATGCTGTTGCTGTAGAGCCTGTGTCATTTGCTCCTTCGCTTTCAAAAGCAGCTGTCCATCCTCTTGGAGTGCATGAGTGGTGCGCAGCTCCTGGATCAGTTCCAGCCGCTTCTCCTTCCCTTCAAACATCTTTAAAATAAAGTTAAACAACCAAGCATGTTAAATGGAGAATATAGATCAACATGTTTTGCCAGCAGAGCACAGCCTTTTTCTCTGAGTTGCAAGGTCAGCTGTTACCAAGACCTAGTTCTCTGTAAGGAATTTGTGCCCACATTTAGGCAAACACCACAGCTGTCAGGTAAATCTTGCCTAAACCCTCCCGCATAGAAGAGGAAAGTTGAGACTTCTGATGTGGAGTATAGATAATCCCTTGCTACTTTATTATAAAATAATTTTTGGTTTTTATTCTGCTTGGCTTTGCCCGGAACTCAAACTACTGGAATGCAGAACAGCAACACGAATGTCAAGTGAAAAGGGCAGTAGCCTTCTGCGTATCCTGTTATATCAGCCTCAATGTCAAAGCTTCCCAGTGTGAGCATTGTTCCTTTTCCTCAGTCCAGGGTTAGATGTCTCCTGTTTCAACATCTACAGTTCTCTGACCTTCGTTTTGAGGGGGTCCAGCAACAGCTCAAAGCAATAAATTAATGGAGAAGTTGTTGAAACTGCTGCTGTCCCTGTCATGGGGTTATGTGGCCCAGCCCTTTCTTGACACTGTCTTATTTTCATTCCCCCTCTCTTCCAGCAGGACTTCCAGCAGCAAGAAAATATCACATCATTCTCCAACTGAGTCATGTATTTCTGATCCAGTAGTAGCTGGAAGGAGCTTCCTAAAATGAGGGGACATTTCAGGATGTGGAAGTCAACATTCCTGCAAAGACATCAAACATCCTTCTCACAGGTCACCACAGAATGGGAGAAGACTTGGGAAGTCTATATTCCCCCTCAAGCCACTTCCACAGTATTGCATTGTTTGCCAAAGCTCAGGTCATATCCCCACATGGGAACACTTCACAAACGTTAAATAAATAGTGCAAGAGAGAATATCAGTTATACTCTCAGCCAGCATGAAAACAAACCTTCTGGACTGCTCTGATCAAAAGTAACAGACTTGCTCAATATAAAGCCCATGAGGCATGGCTACTCAGTTTTTACCTAGACCTGCTTCTGCTCCACTGAAAGCAGAATGATGGGTCCTGCACTTGCTGGAAATCATGGTGGTATGCTTCAGTTGCTCCTCATCTCAGGTTCAGCTCACCATCAAAGGAAACTGGAAAGATGGTATGAAATACAGGCTGCCCTGCTGGGATGTGGGAGGTTTCTTATGCCTGGGATCTTGGCATAATCAAGGCAAAATGTACTCATGGTCCAGATCTAGCCTAGAATTTGCCATTTGAGTAATTCCGCTATGAAGCATCTAATTAAACAGCTGAGTGTAGGGAATGGCAGGAACAGGGAGACACTCACAGACGTGTGGGAACCTAGAATTTCCTGTATGAAATCTGGACTGGAGAGCAAAGCCTTGAAGGACTCCAGATAACATACAAGAGGATATGCTTTAGAAACCTCATTACCCTTGATTACTGCTGTAGAAGAAAGATTGCAAACACACTTTCAATCATTCCCACCATCATTCTGAGGAGAGATGTTAAAGAAGAGACACACCGTGTTCTGAATAGCCCTGCCTCGGAGTAACTTCTGCAGACAGATCACTGCCAGTTCTGTTTCCTCTTCCTCCTGCCGAAACACAACAAATATCCCCACAATAATTAATTATTTCTTTGGAGGCTGAGATTTCTATAGATCATCCACCTAATTATCAGAAAGTCTAACTCATATCCAGCTTTTTCTCAGTTATTTCTGAATACCCTTCTAATTTCGAGGGAAAGGTGAGTCATAATAAGACGTATTTCCATCTTTTACAAGAGATGGGGGAGAAAGGCTGTATAATTAGATTCTATTTGAGATTTTAGAGGGTCTTTAGAGATGAGTACCTAATGATAAGGAGATGTTGATGGAGAAAATTACTGTATGCATTAGAAGTACTATTTGTAGCTTGACTGAATTTGAGTTTGCAAAATGAGCATCAGCTACATTAATTTAACAGGTCAAGGCACTAAGGGGATGGAATTATTATTGAAGGAGGTGTAAGAGAGCTGTTAACCAGAAATAAAGGGATTAAATTAAAAGGGAACACATACAATTTTTCTTTTGATATTTATCCCAGTGGTGACCTTTATCAGAATAACTCAGTAAATTTAAGACTCAGAAGGTGATAGTTTGGAAGTAAAATTAATTACATTACATTATGATTTATCTCTTTGAGAACTTCACTGGCCTAGCATTGTGTGACTGATACCAATCTGGAAGAATGATGGAGCATAGTGGGAAAAGGGAATATGACCATAGGAGGGAAAAAAAAAAATAAAGGCTTATTTTAAATAGAGGAAGCACAGCTGGCAGCACTTTTTCTTGCTGTGGGGTATTCCAGCCGGGAGTTGACAGTAGCAGAAGGAAAAATCCCATTGCGTGCCTGGGAAAAATAAAAAGAAGTCTTAAAATTGCAAGGAATTTTTTTCAATAAAGAGCCTATGAGGTCTGCTTTGAAATGTGGTATTTTAGAAGTGCCGGAAAAACAGGGAAGAGTGTGGGATGAGAGAAGTGGTGTGGGCTTAAATCTTAGTATCTGTTTTTTCTTAGGTGTTGAAGATTAAGTTTTCCAAATGCAAAAGGAAGCATTTTTGTCTTTCCACACCACCACCCAGGAGGAGCAAAGCAGAACAAGCCAAAGGACTGCCTTATAATTTGGTATGTTCTTTTTTTTCTGGAAAGAAGGGATGAATTTCCAGCCCAGTTAGAGAGCTAAACTGTACTACATCACTTGGCTACAGTGTGAAAGCCCTTCAGGACAGAATTTTGGAAATGGAGATGGCACTTATACTGGATAGGTAAGCCAAACTGCTTAGTTTGATTTAAACTAAGATTTGGTTTAAATTTTTGTGAGATGCATTTTTCTGTACTTCTGTTGTTCAGTGCTGCAAATGATGCCTTAGCAAGGGTAATCATCAGCTTCTCCATCTGCCTGCTACAGATCAGCAGGAAAGAATGAGGGGAGATGGAAAGCCTAGTGTGCCCTGCAGGAAAAGAAAAAAAAATGGAATAAAGGATATGGAAGGATCTAAGAGCAGGCTGAAAATTAGAGGGGGTTGGAAGAAAGTGATAAACCAGTGAAGGAATTCAGAGGCACTCTATGAGCTTGTTGTGGCTAGTAAGTGCATAAGAAATGACTGGGGGAGGCCTGCAGTAGTGCCTCCATTCTCTCCACTTTCTTTTGTATCTCTTGTGGTCCATGTCACCCGCCTGTCACTCTGGCACACTTTCCTTTTTAGATCCTCAACTCCAGCAGGAAGAGGCTGGTGCATTTAGCAGTTGGTACTCGTGTGTATGGCAGGAAGAGAAGCATTAACAACAGAGGAGAGCCTTGCTTTCAGTGCTCCTCACAGCCAGCTGGTAGGAGAAACCTCACTTGGATTCTGCAAGGCAGGAGATGTTAGTGCTGCTCTTCAGTGCCTGAAGTGGCCTGATTTTACAGATGGAGCTTCACTAGAGAGCTCTACTCTTTTATATGTTCGCACATAAAGATACCTGAAAATAAACCAAATGTTGACAGAATTCATTTAGGTGGAATTATATTGTATTGGAACTCTTTAAAAAAAACACATAATCTGTAAACACTGTTGTCAAGAATGACAACAACTGGGTCATCAATCTTTCTGATTTCTTTTCATGTTACCTGGGAGTACTTAAAAATCTGCTAAACTGGTAAATCTACCACTGCAATACGGTATCTAATACCTAGGAATTAGTAAAGCTGTGGAAAGCTCTTCCCAAGGAGACGTTCCTGTTTAGTCGTCTTAAAATAGACTGTATAAAACATAGCACATCATACTGCACAAAAGAAGACAGCATGGATGATCTAATAAGGCTTTCTCTCTCTCACTTTCACGGTTGTGTGATTCTCTTAAATTCACAAGTTTAAATGGCAATTGTGACTGATTCTTACTACATCAGGAAAATGGTGTTAATAAGCAGACAAAGCAATCCACTGGGGCAACCACCTCTTAAGTATGTTACTTTAAAAAAGGAAAAGAAGTTGCAGCTCCCCTAAAAAGTTGTTTGTTTTTTTTTTTTTCCTACAGCTTATCACATCCCCTGTGACACATCATTACTGCTATTTCAATCTCTGCAGAAGAATCATCTGTGAACTGGGACATGCTCATCAAAGGCTGCATCCTGCATGATGACAAGAGGTTCACTCCAGCAAATTAATGAAGTGGATGCTCAGTGCTAAACACTCAAAGTCTCACTGACTTCAATGGGACTCAACTTAATTGCTCCGCCGGATTACAATAGTGTTGTCAGATCGGAAGGTTGGAAGACACCGAATAATAATAATAACAACAACAACAACAACAACAATAATAATAATCATCATCATCATCATCATCATCATAATCTACCTTTTTGTTCCCCAAGAACAAGGGAATCTACTGATTTATTTATTAAATAAAGTTTAGTGAAGGATTTGACCAACAAATATTGTAAAACATTTTCAATTCTTCAGCTGCTAGTATCTTTATAGAATAAAGAGAGACTAAGAGTCTTAAGAAATAGTGATGGCTATTTCTAACATGAGTACACACCAAAAAGATAAAGCTTACTTCTTTCCTTCTCTGGCCATCCCTTTCACAACTGTGTAGGAAACAATCAGGGATCAACAGAAAAAATATGCTAAAACCAGCCCACTTACAATTGATGGTTTTTCCAGGATTGGAGTGGGTGGCCGAGGAATGGGCTTTTCTACTTTTTCAAGGAAATGGAGGGGCTTCTTTGGCTCCTTGACTTTATTCTTCTCCAGTACTGCCTGGAACAGACACACAATTTAATCAGAACTGGGCTAGAAAGAACAACGCAACAAGGCCAGTCCTCTAGATGCTGACTATTGCTGATCACTCTGATTACTCAGAGCTGAAAGTGTTTTGCACTTTGCAGGCTTGTTGGCTTCTATTTCTTGCTGCACATCAACTGAAAAACTGAATATGGTCAGTAGATGAGGTTATTGTTTGGTCAGAAGATACTGATGTGAACTTCAAAATCATATGTAAGAAGGAAGTGAGAGTTATTTTTACTATATTTACAAGTAAGTCATCAGCAATTGCATAGGGTGAGTCACCTAAAATGAATCTAAAATTGGTATGAACTTAATCTCTAATATAATACATTCTTAAATAAAAGCGTATTTCAGATTTATTTTTTCACTTTAAAATAGGAATCTCATTGAACCAGTCAAACCCATATGCAAGCAGAGGCAGTTGTGTGTATTACTTTCCTTATGGAATGACAGAAACAGTATTTTCCTGTAAGGCAGAGGTAGGATTCTTTCAAAACATGAAAACTGGGTAGGAATATCACAATTTATTTACAGTTTCTATATCACTACAGAATGGTTATAATTCTTTGTCTAACTATAGGTATAATGTTTTTACTGCAGGTTAGAAATGTTATGTGGTCAGGAGATTTTATGAAGGGGTCACTTGACAAACTATTGTCACTGTTCTGTGTCCCTTCCTCACTGAAACATCTTTGTATGCTGCACTGTTACTGCGCAGGGTCGAACCAAATGACCCAGGACCCCTTCCTTGCAAAATATGTTTTGAAACTCTTCTCTGCTCATCTGCAACTGCCCAGTGGCACCTGTAGCAACTGTACAAGTGGACTAAGGGCAAAAAGGAAACTAACTTGCCTGAGAACTTCCTTCTACCAAGAAAATCCACAAGCCCATTAAGAGTGGGTTTTAACTTGCCTGCAGCTGGCAGATGCCAAACCTTGTCAGCCAAAGCAGGCTAGGAGTGGAAACGCCACCACGGCCTCAACTTTTTCAAGACACTTTCAAACTGTTTAAGAGAGCCAGAGCCCTGCCAACTTCCCATCACAGCTACTTAGAACAAGATATTCAGATAATCACTTCCAACTGCACAGCAATGCTTGCCTGCTGTAGGACATCACGCTTTGGCTCACAAAGGAAAGAGAGTATGTACATTTAAAGCTCTTTCAAAATTATAGTCCTACTACTGTATGGGTTGGATCTGTAATCTTTATTACTGAAAGAATGGACATATTCCAGCAAGGAAAAGTGTGCCTTTTTTTTTTTTTTTTTTCCCCCCTCACTCTCTGTCTTTCAAATGTTCATGTATTTCATTAGGGAGGGAAAACAGATTAAAACTTAAGAAAAGAATGCCATGTTGAATTTCTCTCTCCAGTAACAGGAAATTGATAGCACTTGCACAGAATTTAATCGTAAAATTAATGAAGTTTTGAAACTCATGTCATCATTGTACAAAACTTTTCTTGCACATTGGATCTAACCTTTCAGGACAGGATGATTAATTGCTGCAGAAAAGGAGAGAGTTTTCTAGGTGGAGGGCATAAAAAATGCTTTATTACTGAAAACTTCTGAAATGGACCATGTTAACACAAGAATCAGAGCCTATAAACTGCTTATAAGCCATATGAAATGGTTATAGCTCCAAAATATTGAGATATTTTCTGAACTGTTTCATGTATTTGATGACCTTAGAGCTCTCTGGCATGAAGATTAGTGCTTGCTATGATTTATAAGGTGTTTTGCATGACAGGGTGAGAAAGTGAAAGAAAAAAGCTGCTGTAATTGTGATACTTTTTAAAACAATGGGTCTAATGTTTATTAGTACAATGTTGCATTCATAAGTTTTTTTCTAACAAAACCATAGCCTCCAAGAATATTTCTTGCTAACCAGAATAACAAAATACAACCAGAATAATAACTTTCAAAGACAGAAAAATCTATGAGCGCTTCTGACAAGAGGGAATTCTTATTAATGTAGATTTGAGAAATACTGCAGTATTCTCAGAAGTGGTTTTATGTTTTCATGTCAGCATAGTCTAGTGCCAGCTTTGCTATCTTTACTAAGTCAAAAATGCTTACCATTTGCTTTCTCTAATCCGAGGTTTTAAGTTATTTTAAGACTTCAATGTAAGACAAGAAAAAGAAAATATTGGTGTTCACTGGTTCTGCCTAACTTAACAAGTTACCATTTTTTGAAATAGGGAGACCAGGCCCCAAGAATCACTGTAAAAAATACTTTCTTTAAAAAGTGCTAAATTTCTGAACAATATGCTTCAAATGTTAGTGCTTACATATCACACTCTAATTTTTCTGAGGTAGACTACATTACTTTTTTCAGGTAGGAAATTCAGAGTCATGGTATAATCTGCTTGGATTTGGCAGTGAAGTACCACCCTATTCATCTCCTTTTCATTTTCCTGGCAAATGCAGCAAATTGTAGCCATGCTTTTGGCCATACACCTTAGCTTCTCTGCGGGCTTCTGATAGAAACAGAACTCTTGACAGGACAGTGGCTTGAGAAACAACTCTTTGTTCAAATAAATAATTCTTCAGGTTCCTTATCTCTTCTGTGATCCTCTCCTTTTCACAAGACACTAGGTATATTTTATTTTCATATACAGCAGAGAGTACACAGTCATGTTTCTCTCTCTTCCTTTTAGCCCACAAATGAGGAAGGTTTGGTCATCAAGGATGGGCTGACTATCTACTTTGCAATGCAGCATGGCCACTGCATCTTGGCTGATTAAGACCAACATAATAGCTCTTAGAGCTTGTCTGAGCATGAGCCAACTAACACTGCTGGAGATCTGTTCTTGATGAAATAACTGCTGGAACAGGTTTTCCTATGCTTTGAACTTGGCAAAGATTTTCTCCAGAGACATTGCTGCCCCTCTGCTTCTCCACCTCCTTCCAGCAATTGGATAAAGGAAAACAGACATGATGAGAGTTGCACTTAATGCTCAGGTGAGAGGTTCTTTATTCTGACATCATCTTGATTCAGCACTTTGAAACTACCTGACACTTCACCCCTCTTGAGTCACCAGAGCATAGGGGGTCAGCCTAAAGTCATGCATTGTTCTGCACTGGGATTTCTTCTAGCAGCTCCTCTGTTCCTTGGTGTATTAGGTTACCTAGTTGCATTTCTTTCCTACAGTAATTAGATGTATCAGTATGCTATCTCTTTAATGCCTTGGATTTTCACAGAAGACTGTCTATATAATGGCTCATTTACATTCCTTAAAGCACTGTCATCTACACTGGCTAGGAATTAGCTTTCCTTGTCCTTTTACAGGTCTCGTGTAAGATACAAATCACTGTTTTTACAGTAAGACTTGGGTGACTCCTGTTTCTGCCATGTTCTCTTGTTTTAGAGAATTATTCAAAGGATGCTGAGTATACATAATACTCCTGCAAAAGGTTTCAGGATGTTCCTCAAAAAGTCTGCTTCTAAAATCACTTCTTTTTGGCTTAGTTTCAAGTATGGGAGAAGCTGTTCTTATTCTCAAGAAGACAAAGATCCTTTTTGTAGTTCCTTGGATAGCTGCTTGTCCCTTCTTACAATCTTTAAGCTTAGGAAAACCCTCAATATGGCAAACCAAGAGGAACATAATAAAGGGGACTAGTCCATCTTGCCACTTGTTTGGCTAGAGAAGCAAGCCTTGGAAACTTCCTTTATCTAAATGAATTACTTCTGAGGCTAGAATCTGGCATTCCTCTTCTATTGGCCACCTCCTTCCAAAGATTATCCAGGGAAAATGAAAGAAAATCATTCTAGAGCTAGATCACTGTGAGTACTCTGAATTTTCTAGAGTTCTGCTTTATTTCTAGGATTATTTGATTGTGCTAGGACAGCACTAAGAAGAGACTTTTGAAGAGAAAACTGCTCTAGCTGCTCAGTTATGGAAATAACACGAAGCAATGCACTGCCCTTCTGAGATGATCTCTAATTGCCTGCTTTAAACCTTTTTCATACTGTGGGTGATAGAGGTTGTTGGCAGGACCGAGATTGCTTATGCCAAGTGGTCAGAGAGCTGTCCTCTCAAGTGCTTAAATACTGTTAACTCAAGTACTCTGCACCCTTTACTCATCTTGACAGCTTCAGTAGCTTCTGAGGTGGACCTGTTGGAGAGACCCTGCTATGACAGAACATGCTATAGCCACCAAACTTAAGAAGCAAAAGCCTCTGATGGGAGAAGTGACCACCAACAGCACCACAGAGCTCAAGTGCTAATTAGGGCAGTAATTTCTTCTTGCTCTGAACAGGAAGTTTGTTTAAATCAAATGGTGGTTGAGGCAGTCTGGGTGCTTCACAGTGTCACTACCTTCTGCTTGACCAACCAGGTTGGTGTCTACTTCTGTATATCTAAAAGCAGCAGTTAAATTTTGCACAGTGGATTTATCATCTTTGCCTGCAAACGAAATGCTTTGTGATTTTAAAAGAAAATACACTTTGCCTTCTTGTGATGGGGAAATGAGTATTAGTTATGTTAGCCCTTCCGTTGGTATAAACTTAGACCAAGTGATCTACATTGATTTAAGAAAGAAAATATGAACAATTTTCTTCTTTCCATCTCCTTTCGGTCACCAGTTTTTCTTTGGAGAGACATTATTGTGTCACTAACCAGCATTAGGGCATACTTCTCCATGACTACAGTTTAGACATGCCACTGTAGTCTTTCAAACCATGAGAAGTATTTTGAACAAGCAGAATACAATTGTTGTAATTGGAATTCAACTCTGAAAGCTTGGGCTAACATTCTGGTCCCTATGAGAACTGTGTTATGATCTGGATTATACATAGTCACTACTTGAATTTTATGCAAAAAGCACCCAAACTCAAACCCCTTCAATAATACTGTGTCTTCTTCTCTAAAACTGTAGTGGATCAATGTCACAGAATCACACAGAATCATCTAGGTTGGAAAGGACCCTGGAGATCATCTAGTTCAACCATTCGCCTGGCACAGTTCCCACCTACAGCATATCCTTAAGCTCCAAATCGACCCTACTCTCCACCTCCACCTGGACACCTCCAGGCATGGGGACTCCACCACCTCCCTGGGCAGCCCATTCCAATGCCCAACAACCCCTTCTGCAAAGAAATGCTTCCTAATATCTAGTCTGAACTTTCCCTGGCACAACTTGAGGCCATTCCCTCTTATCCTGTTGCTTTCTACTAGGCTAAAGAGGCTCAAACCCAGCTCTCTGCAGCTTCCTTTCAGGGAGTTGTAGAGGGTGATAATGTCTCCCCTCAGCCTCCTCTTCTCCACATTAAACAATCCCAGTTCCCTCAGCCACTCCTCATAGGACATGTGTTCCAGATCCTTGACCAGCTCAGTTGCCCTTCTCTGGACATGTTTGAGTAACTCTATGTCCTTTTTGTAGTGAGGGGCCCAAAACTGAACACAGGAATCAAGGTGCAGCCTCACCAGCACCAAGTACAGGGGCAAGATCACTTCCCTGTCCCTGCTGGACACACTAATCCTGATACAAGCCAGGATGCCATTGGCCTTCTTGGCCACCTGGGCACACTGCTGGCTCATATTCAGCCGACTGTCAATCAATACCCCCAGGTCCCTCTCTGACTGGCAGCTCTCCAGCCACTCCTCCCCAAGCCTGTAGCACTGCTGGGGGTTGTTGTGGCCCAAGTGCAGCACCCGGCATTTAGTCTTATTGAAGCTCATGCAGTTGGCTTCAGCCCATGGCTCCAGCCTGCCCAGGTCTCTCTGCAGAGCCTCCCTACCCTCAAGCAGATCAACACTCCCACCCAACTGGGTGTCATCTGCAAACTGACTGAGGGTGCACTTGATCCCCTCGTCTAGATCATCAACAAAGATGTTAAACAGGAGTGTCCCCAAAACCGAGCCCTGGGGGACACCACTCGTGACCAGGCACCAGCTGGATTTAACTCCATTTATCACAACTCTCTGGGTCCGGTCGTCCAGACAGTTTTTTACCCAGCGAAGTGTGTGATTGTCCAAACCTCGAGCAGTCATTTTTGCCAGGACAACGCTGTGGGAAACGGTGTCAAAAGCCTTGCTAATGTCAAGGTAAATTACATCCACAGCCTTTCCCTCATCCAATAAGCAGGTCGCTCTGTCACAGAAGGAGATCAGGTTTGTCAAGCAGGACCTGCCTTTCATAAACCCATGCTGACTGGGCCTGAGCATCTGGTTGTCCCGCATGTGTTGCATGATGGTGTTTAGGATGAGCTGCTCCATCAGCTTCCCGGGCACCGAAGTCAAGCTGACAGGCCTGTAATTTCCCAGTTATCCTTCTGATAATCCTTCTGACCCTTCTTATAGATGGGCATCACATTGGCCAATTTCCAATCAGTTAGGACCTCCCCGGTCAGCCAGGACTGCTGGTAAATGATAGAAAGTGGCCTGGCGAGCACCCCAGCCAGCTCCTTCAGCACTCTCGGGTGTATCCTGTCTGGTCCCATAGACTTGTGTATGTCTGTGTGATGCAGCAGGTCACTGACGGTCTCCTGGATCGCAGAGGGGTCGTTCTCCCAGTCTCTATATTCTGGCTGTGGAGGCTGGATTTCATAAATACAACTAACCTTGCTATTAAAGACTGAGGCAAAGAAGGCACTTCAGCCTTCTCCTCATCAATTGTTACCAAATATCCTCCTGCATCTAGCAGGGAATGGAGTCTCTCCCTGGACATTCTTTTGCTACTGACATACTTATAGAAACTTTTCTTGTTATCCTTGATTGCAGAGGCCAAATTAATTTCCAGTTGGGCTTTAGCCCACCGGATTTCCACCCTGCATAGCCTCACAGCCTCTCTGTAATCACTGTGTGTGGCTAGCCCCTTCTTCCAAAGGCTCTAAACTCTCCTTTTCTCCCTGAGTTGCAGCCAAAGCTCCCTGTTCAGCCAGGGTGGTCTTCTCTGGCATCGGCTTCTCTTAGAGCACCTGGGGACCGCCTGCTCCGGAGCCATTAACACTTCCTTCTTAAAGAGCACCCAGCCCTCCTGGGCCCCTGTACCCTTCAGGAGAGTCTCCCAGGGGATCCTTTCAAGCAGGTGCCTAAACAAGACAAAGTCAGCCCTTCTGAAGTCCAGGATGTCAGTCCTGCTTAGCTCTCTCCTGACCTCTCTAAGAATAGAGAACTCTATTATTTCATGATCGCTGTGCCCTAGTGGGCCTCCAACCTCCACATCATCCACCAGACCTTCTCTGCTCACAAAGAGGAGCAGAGGCAGGGCACCTTCTCTGGTCGGTTTACTCACCAGCTGCATCAGGAAGTTGTCTCCCACACATTCTAGGAATATCTGGGACTGGTCTCGTTCTGCCATGTTGTATTTCCAGCAGATGTCTGGGAAGTTAAAGTCGCCCACAAGAACAAGGGCAAGTGATCATGAGATTTCATCTAAGTGCCTATAAAATATCTCATCCATCTCTCTGTCCTGGTTGGGTGGCCTATAGTAGACTCCTACTACAACATCTGCCCTGTTGGCCCTCCCCCTGATTCTAATGCAAAGAAACTCAACCCTGTCTTCACTACACCTGTGCTCGAAGCAATCGTAACAGTCCTTAACATACAGAGCCACCCCACCACCTCTCCTTCCCTGTCTGTCCCTCCTAAAGAGCTTGTACCCATCCTTGGAACACTCCAGTCATGGGAGACATCCCACCATATTTCTATAATAGCAACAACATCATAATTTTCCTGTTTGGAATGTCCTTAGTTCATGAACGCTTCCTGTAGCACTAAAGATTTTCTTTGAAAATTTTCCTTCTGGATAGTAAACAGATGCAACATTTCATCTTTTACAAAATCTAGCAGAATTTAAATTTGAGATAATATGACTGACTTTTCAGAACAAGATTTCAATTTAAAATTCATTAGTAGAAAGCTACTGTCTTTGAAAGTATTATTAAATTACACTAAAACAAGAAGGCTATACACAAATTTTCAATTATGAAATATTTCTTCACTAAATAAAGCATAGGTGAATGTTGCCAAGCTTTACAAATGAATTCAGTATTTTTCAGTGATACAACAGCCAGCCAAGAATACACCTGATTTTAAAAAGAGGTAACCCTCTACAGCATTACAAGAAGCGTTAAAAGTACATGTAATTTACAAATATTGTGATTGTAGATGCAAATGAGGCACTTCTTTCCTCGGTGGTTAATTGCATATATGGACACCTCATCTGCATGAACAGTTGTGATAAATTAAGACATGCAAAACAATATTAGCACATTTGCAAATCAGATGATGTTGTTAGGGAGCAACAGTGATGTGCATCCACTGTTCTGATCCAATTTTATGAGCGGGGTCATTCTAATCATGCTTTGCTGCAAGTGTTTTTACAATTTGTACTTAAAACGTGCATTTTTTTAAAACGTACAGCATTTTTATAATATGAATCCAGATTAATTATTAGTAGTTTGACAGTGTAACCAGTATGCTTGCCACTTGTGCATTATAAAAGCAAGAGAGAAATGAGAACGAGCAAATGGCAGGAGGGAATTTCTAACTGACTTAATATGTTCCGATCCAAATACCTGATCTGTAGGAAGACAGAAGCAGCTGTGCTTGTTTTCTATAGGGTTGGAGCAGAAGCACAGATATTAGGGAGAGAGTACTGACAGACTGAGTTCCAGAGCACCACTGGACATGCCTACAACAGTCTGAATGTTTGATCCATTCTGTCCTTGAAGTTGTCTTACGAAAAATACAAGTTTATCACAAGAAAATGAGAGAAAGCTTACACACGCATCTTCCCAGTTGCATTTCTGAGCAGTTCAAATCTAAGAGGAACTGATATGCTGCTGGATGCTGCTCCATACCTGGTGAACTTGTGCCAGCTCCACCTCTAGCTTTGCTGATCTTTTAATAAATCCAGTCTTAGTGGTAGTGTACTTAGGTTTTGGAGCTTCAATCTTGACCTGGGTGACAGAATCTGGGAGAGATGCTTCCAGTTCACACAGTCCTAAGAAATACAAACAGTGATTAAATAATGGAGTGGTGGGGAGACAAATCTGAGTTTTGTTAATATTTTAAGTATCTCCAACAAACTAAGTCTTCCAAAATGCCTTACCTGCAAAGGTGTTAAGACACAAGTTTTTTACCACATAGCGTTCAGAACGGTTGTCTGGAAAATAACCAATTCTAGACAAAGGAGCATATGTTTGTGATGCAAAGTCCGTATACTCTTTGATGATATCTCGTCTCTCCAGCTTCCCCATCACATTATTCCCCTTAGCTATCAGTTTCCTGACCACTGAAAAGGAAATACAAATGCAAGAAGGTTCTTCATACAAATAGTTCTAACAAAAGCTCCATCTTTGGAAATTTAGGAAAGCTTTTGCTGGTTAATATAAAACATGACCTGTTTGACCTGAACAAATGCTGGCCATACATATCTATATTGTGGATACAACCTGTTTCATCTTGAATAAAACTTTCAACCTTGTGAAAACAGAAATGGCTTGTATGAAAACTAAGTCTCATACTACTCTCTCCCTGGTTTTTAAACTTACTTAGTGCACAGTCATGGTTAATCTTTTTAATTTTCTCTTCTTTAACCTTCTGGTGATTTCGCCAGTGGTCATCCAAGCGCTTGGCATTCAGCTCATTCTGATTCTCCTCTCGCCTTCGCAGCAGTTTCTTTAAGACTTCCAGTCGAACCTCCTGCAACCTGAAAGGAAAGAAAAGCCCAGGTATGACCTATTGTACGCTGCAGTGTTCTGTGCAATGCTGTCATCATCAAATCCTACACACCGTCTACTTTACACGTAGTTCATACTGCATATCTCATATTTAAACTTTCATTTTAAAAAGTGAGTTTACCACTGGTGAAAAGTATTGTGGTAGCAGTCTCATATTAAATTTAACAAAAATATCCCTTCCCAAACTCAGGGGATTTTGACAGCAATAAAAGGCTTGTACCCCTTCTGTTCCCTCTCTATTCAGCCAATCATTAAAATAAATAAAGAGTATAACTGAACTCCTACTTTTCTATTTCCCGTTCTCTAAAGGCCCACTCCTTCCTCTCCATATCTTCCATCATTTTTCTCCTCTTTGTGATTTGTGAGGCATTGTCCGCTGCTGGAAGAGTTGCTTCCCATGCATGTTTTTCCCGGGCGCATTCAATCATCTCCACCTCGACTAGTCCCGCTGGTAACCCCCGACCTTCCAGGGACAAGAAGAAGTAGCTCTTTAGGAGAATGGAGAATCCAGCAATTAACCATCACCAATAAAGTATTAGAGGACTGGATGACCACAAGCCCATGTGTTAAACACAAGCAGAGCTGTCAATAGCTAGAAGTGAATACTTCTAGGACCAGTGAAATTCTGCAGTTTGAGGAATGGTAGGACCTGCAGTTGCTATAGCTTAGTCGAGATAAACACCAGTACTTCTTCTGCAGGCTGCAAAAGGAGGAAAAACTTTTCCAAGAAGACACTTTCTGAGAATGTGCACTTTTCTTTGGCACGTCCAGTGTCTATCACTATTGCAGGTGCAACACTGGGAGTTGAGGATCACAGGTATATCCTGGGGCAGCAGTGTTCATACAGGTTTTTTTTGATGTCTAATTCAGAACAGCTGAAGAACAGTAAGTAAATAGAACAACTGCTCCTAGTTTGTATTTGTAAAACATATGACCTTTTTATATTGAATGATCTCAAAACACTTCATGAAATCCCCCAGAACAGGACCATTAAGGAGGAAAATATCTTACCTGTTTTAGAAATAGATAAAATAATGTGTCCCAAAGGAAGACAACCAAGGGCTGTCAAAGCTGGCAACAGACTTGAGACCTGACATTGAAAAAAAGAACCTCCTGCTAAAGAGGCGACAATTATTATCATTTATCTTGATTTCACAACTCACCCCAAGTGAGTGTAGCAAGTGTCAGAAGTTCAGGGACTGAGCCACTGGGAACTACATATTCAGGGGAATAGGGATCTGTCTGGGCTTCTCCATCCCTGTAATCTGTCTGTGTGCCCAAAGTTCGTAACTTGGGACCAAAGACGTTGCTGTCTCTTGTAGCTGAATGGACACAGGGCTCTGTCCTGAAAAGAGATGCAAGATGGAAGAACATTTGTCACATTTATTAAAAACAACCAAAAACCAGAAACACATCACTAAGTCAAAGGTAGGCTATCCAAATGTGGTTTATCTTAACATTGCTCCCACTGATGTTAACTCTGTTATCTTTAGTAAAAGCAGACTGAGGCTACACTGAGTCCTCTGAAACCTGCCTCTTTAGGTAGACAATCCAGAAAACTTCTGGTTTCAGCTCTCAAGTTATTACAAGCAAATCTTCCCTATGTATCCATTCTAAAGCATTGCTGTCAATGGGCACAAAAAGTAGTTAACGGTTTAGAGTAAAATGGAGGACCGCTTCAATTTAGCTTACAGGTTCGTCTTTCCAGCAACTGCAGAAGAAAAATTAAATTCTGATGTAAGCATGTGCAACTTCCATTGACTATACTAGGAAATAAATCTTCTTATGCCCCCTTGAAATTTGATCCCCACTGAAAACCACAGTAGACTACTTAAAGGATGCCTTAAACCATTGAACAGTATTGCAACTATGACAGAGACTGAGATAAAATATCAGAAGATCTTCCAAAAATACTGCTGTATTGGAGAATCTTCTTTGCATCAGTAACTCTTCTAGCATTCAGAGATACTTGGATTTCTGTTTCAGGTCTCATTATCATAACACACTTGAGGCACATGTCCTTTACCCACAAAGCACTATTAATACACTGCAAGCAAAGTCAGAAAAAGTCAGTCACCTGTTTTCTCAGGAATTCTCGGTGGTGAGCAAACCCTTACCTCTTAAGAAGTTTTTCCTGTTGGTGCATTATGAAAAATATTGACAACCAGCTAAACAGTTTCACATTTTTTTCTGAGATGTGACCAATTACAACAGGAATGTTCCCGAACTCACTACTTACTTTTCCATTGTGTAAGCAATATTTAGTGGAAGCAGCTTATTAGAAGGGATGAGAGGTCTGAAAAGAGAGAATGCAGATGTAAGACAACAACCATGGTGTAAAAGATAGTTATGGTTTAGAAAAATTGCAGTCCACTAATTTTGGTGGAGTTGCAGTGATTTCCCACAACTCAGGTTCTGAACGTTTAAGAATTGTGCCTGAATATTAACTAATTCTTTCATAGCTAAGGAGTAACAGAGAAAGTTTCACCAGTAGGACTGTTATTCTTCTGTCGAAGCAGAACGTGGAATTGCAAAACAAGACAATTAAAAGAAGTTAATTTTGAATGTGCTCACAACATTTTGTGTGTGTTTCAGTAGTTTACCTTTTTCAATTTGAGCTTTTGAGAGGGTTTTTTTTAATAACTTTTTGAAATCCTGAAATGAATTCCTATAATCAGCTGGTAAGGTAAGGTGCTTTGGACCTACCTAATTTGATTGTTTCCTTTTTTGCAGTATTTTATGAAGTATCTTGTAAGTGACATGGGCTCAATTCCTTCTTAGGCATTCTTATGGTTTGTGTATTTCAGTTCACTATCAATTTCCCTTGTGTTTGAGAGACTTCAAAGCTTAATTTCAAATTGCTCAAGATATTGTCTTTGTTCTTTTTTTGTTGTTGCTAAAGGAGCCATAAAGAACTTCAATTTATTAAACTTGGCATTTTAAAAATATTTAAAGTGGAAATATGGGCCAACAGCTGCTGACTATAATAGTGAATGTAATTCAAAGTATATGTGACTAAGTTGAGAACATTTGTACACTAGCTGTTGGTTGAATCACAGAATCACAGAATCAACTAGGTTGGAAAGGACCTTGAAGATCATCTAGTCCAACCGTTAACCTAGCACTGACAGTTCCCAACTACGCCAGATCCTTAAGCACCAAGTTGATCCTACTCTTCAACCCCTCCAGGGATGGGGACTCCCCCCCTGCCCCGGGCAGCCCATTCCAATGCCCAACAACCCCTTCTGCAAAGAAATACTTCCTGACATCTAGTCTAAACTTGCCCTGGTGCAACTTGAGGCCATTCCCTCTTGTCCTATCACTTGTTCCTTGGTTCAAGAGACTCATCCCCCCTCTCTGCACCCTCCTTCCAGGGGGCTGTAGAGGTCGATGAGGTCTCCCCTCAGCCTCCTCTTCTCCAGACTAAACCCCCCCAGTTCCCTCAGCCGCTCCCCATCAGACCTGTGCTCCAGACCCTGCACCAGCTCCGTTGCCCTTCTCTGGACACGCTCGAGTCATTCAATGGCCTTTTTGGAGTGAGGGACCCAAAAATGAACATAGTAATCGAGGGGCGGCCTCACCAGTGCTGAGTACAAAGGCAAGATGCCTTCCCTGTCCCTGCTGGCCACACTATTGCTGATACAAGCCAGGATGCCATTGGCCTTCTTGGCCACCTGGGCACACTGCTGGCTCCTGTTCAGCCGGTTGTCAATCACCCCCCCAGGTACTTCTCTGACTGGCAGCTCTCCAGCCACTCCTCCCCAAGCCTGTATCGCGGCTGGGGGTTGTTGTGGCCAAAGTTGAGATCTTGAGTCCATTGCTGCTGACCTGCAGTGTCATTCTGGAAGGAGCAGAGCAGTCCTGCAGTAGAGGACATTGATGAGAATCAAGAATTCCCTTTGCTCCCTTTCTGCTCCTGGCAGAAACTGGGAGTTAAAAGGTTCCTTCTTAAGAAGGCACCTTTCCAGGAGTCTGGAGATCCACAATGGCTTTGTGAGCATCCTTCTCCTTTGTGTAGGAGGACTTACAGTTCAATGCTTTTTACAAATAATTATTAATTACAGAATGCCTGGTACATATGCTTACATGGTAACTCATTACCTGAACCTTCTGGCATAGCGTGAATTTAAAAAGACCTTGTGATTTAAGATTTGGTTACTATTTAGTTTCTCCATAGCAGTGATTAAAGAACTGACAGAAAAGACAGAAAAAATAAGGCTCTGGCATTTATTTAGGTGCTCTTTACACTGCACAAAAGCAAGCTTCTGAACTCTGTTTCAAATCAGTTCATTCCTTACCGTGCAAAATATTTGTAGCGATTCCTTCCACTAACTTCAGGATCTTCATACACAATTTGAGGTATCTGAAGAGAAGACTGAGTTCTAAAGCCAAAATACAGGATATAATTTAAGAAGTACATTCAGAACAGTTCTGATCTTTTTTTCTTATGCCTCTTTTTTTTTTAATCTCTTTCTCTACTTCTCTGGTTGCATAATCAAACATGCACAATTCCACAAAATCCCCATACTTATACAAGCAATTATATCTTGATTTTTTTCATGCTTTATATATATAGCAAAACAGTTTGACACTTCATGTATATTTCCCACTATGTGTGAACAAGAAATGGTCATTTGCTGCCTTTAATAAAACTTCCTTATGTGCTTGTTGTGAAAAGGATTGGCCACTTGTAAATGCTTGATCTTATAAACTAAACTGCTTTTATTGGGAGTGGGGGGAGCAAGCTTACTTCCTTAAGAGTGAAAAAATTTCTGTAACAGAAAATATGTGTAAAGGAGTAAAAATGAACAAAGGGGAAGACTACCACTTCAGAAGTACCTGAAGAGACGTTGAGCAACTGTGAAAAATGTTAGAATCAGCAATTTCAATTTGAATTCTCCAATAAAGGAGAAAAATCAGGGTGACCATGTGAATGTTTCAAATACTATGCTGGAACAAGCATATCTTTGGCAAGAACAATCTTTCTTAATTTTTTTCCCCCTGTTGAATTTAAAGTAGGCAGACTGTTTAATTTTTTTTCACTATAATATCTTGGAGGGTTTTCTTTATTTTAAAGCTTTGGAAGACCATGAGGTAGACCTCATTAAGGCAATCAGTGAGAGAACGGATAGAATTGAGTCCTTTGAAAGCTATGCATCAGGATTGCTATTTCATTTCACAGTCACTTTATACTCCAGTCTTTTCAACCTGCAAGGTGGTTAAAGACAAGAAACAGAAGTTCTTTTTCTTTAAAAAAAAAAAAAAGCCCATCTTATGCCATTAAGGTTTCCTTGAGCTACATATATGGCAAGTCCTGAAGGTCATGTTTTTCATAAGACCGTTTTTGGCAACTTGTAAGAATCTTGACCTCAGATGTATGGGACCGTGTGGGTGCTGGAGTTGGTTGCTGCTGCCCAATTTTAAATACAGACATACAATTAACAATACATAACATTGCTCGACAGCTAGGATCAAAAGAGAGGATTGCATGCTGAGATCAGTTGTCTTCAAAGACCTCATCTAAGTCCTGCAAGCTGCGCTGTGGAACTCGGGGAACCACACTATGGCTAACCACTACAGCAAGGCCTATAGAGAGATGCTTCATTAACCTCCTGTGACATACAATTTACTGCCAAGGTAAGTTTAAAGTCATCTCTTCCCAGTGCTTTCAGTCGTATCACATAACAAAAGAGAGGGGAATGTTTTGAGATGCAGTGCAGTAACCTGAGATACTTGCTCAGCACTAATGAACCTATTATTGTGAAGTTGTGTTTGTAATTCAAATGAGTTAACTGAGCTGATGGCTAGTTCCACTAGCTGACTCTTTACATATCAGACTGTTGCTCCATCCAGATGGATTTGTGTTTCATTCAGCACAGGTGGGCACTTATTCTTATGATCTAACTTTATTAGCATAAGCTGTTCATCCTATTATGGTATAGTTATAGGCACAATGGGAACCCAGAAAAATAGCCCCTTTTATTCCACAGATCCTGCCTTTTGCATGTCCTTGACTTCTATTTGCTGACTTTGCTGAAATAAATGAACATTTATTCCTGGTAACCTTGCAGAGGCAATGCAACTACTGAGAGTACAGCTGGGAAATAATATATCTTTGGTATCAGCAACACTGTCAATCAGTGCGGGTTGAAACAGAGGGGATGTATTTCTCATTTTTTGTTAATTGCAAGACATTTTGCAAATACATGTTGTTGAAATGTAAATCAATTTTAAAGCAGTGCAGGTGTCAACTAAGATCTTGTTACAAAATAACAGGCAAAGTAGAAGAAGCCACTGAGGTTTTCATGTGCTGGGGACAGTCTGAAATGCTAAAAATAACAATAAGAAAAAAGAAAGGCTCCAAAAATCTTACTTTATTATGGAAATGAGGAGAATATGCTTTTGAATCTGAACAAAACCAGCTGTATCACCCTTAAACATCTTTGATTGTTGTTTGACAGGTGGTACAACTGTTACCAGCAACCCAGAGCAGCATCACCTGAAAAGCCCATGGTCTAAAGTTATCTTGTTAATGCAGCAAAAACCTCTGAAAACTACCTAGGCTGATGCCTGCAGTCTTGAATACAGCTACAAGAGGACTCCAAATAACGCATGGTGTGGCAAAACACAGAAACGTTTTTTAAAATATTTGCTGAATCAGAAGCCCCAATTTTAATGCTAGGAGAAAATTCAACGAAGAAACCCCTGGGCTAAAAATGTGGTGCCCTAGTTCAGGCCCCATACGCCCGTGAATGAGCAGGAAAAGCAATCTAACCAGCTGCAACTGCATGGGACTAAAGGGAAACAGCTCCTGCTGAAGTAACACACAAGTCACAGAAGTCTTCATCACTTATCTGATCTACAAGAGACTGAAAAAACTCTCTTCTTTCCCAGCAACCACTGCAAAGCAGATAGCACAGAGATGAAGGAATGTGCAACATCCACCCTGTCAGAAACAGATGGGCAACCATACTCCACAACAGCTGCAATCTCTTAATTTCAAGGGAAATATAAGTAGGAGCAAATTGCAGTCATCTCCCCTTCAGTGTGCATGGATTTCTGTTGGTTTTGTTTGTATGTTTGTTTTAAATTATCCAACCATAGAACACTTACGAAGCAAGCTGCTGAAGAGCCTCCAGGCGCTGCTGAGCCCTCCCTCTCCATCTCTGGTCAATAAATGGAGGCACTGGATCTTTGCCTTCCAAGCAGAGACCATAGCCCGGGAAATGGATCAAGCTACTAAACATACTTCAGAACGTTGGTGCCTTTACCTAATGTTTGTGTGGACACAGGGAAAAGAGGTAAAATTTAGAGGAGAAATTTATATGAGAAATTTCGCGATTTCAAACAGCATTGAAGAGTTCAGAATTTCTGCTTGCTGCAATGTACAGGACTGCGTATTTGAGATGGGGAAAGAAGGCAGCATACATATGCTAATGATGTCAGCTGGTTAGATGGTACTTCTCAAGATGTGGAGCATACCAGACTAGCAGCAGATGCACAGATATGTCTTCTGGCTGTTTTCCAGTGTCTAAACTTATACTTAAAATTGAAGGGTCTAACAGTTCGTTACATAAAGGGGTTAGTGTGCAGTAACTGTGAATGTGCAGTAATGTGAACTTCTAGCACATTACCCCATGTAACTCCCTCCTATTTCATGTGCTCTAGAAATGAAGTAACATATTCCACTTACAGAGTAAAGTTACATTATTTTATACTGTAACAGTTTTAGCATGTGTTAAAAATATCTCCACAGGAGTTGGCACACAAAAATGATCACATTAAAAATCCACACCCTTCCTTCTAATTTCCCTGGGTAGATATGCCTAAAATCTCTAAATTTATGGCTGCCAATAAATCTTTGCAATTGTGACTCAAGTATAAGTGATGTAGCTATATTGGCTTGAGCTGCTGTAAAGCCTGAAATCAGATTTGAATTGTGAATGGCCCCTTTCATTTCAGCGGGTGCTAACTCAGATGCATATAGGCTAGTGGTGACATTTCAAGTACACTAACTCACCAGAGTGTAAGAGAGTGTCAGATGATGAAGATGTAGGCACCCTACTATGAGTAGCTGTTCGCTGTGCATGAGACTGCATTTTTGTTTCATTTCTCTTCAAAGAGAATTAAACTTTGAAGAGTTTGGAAAACCCTATAAAGTAATATCACAACCCCTGTCTACCCCATTTTGTGATGCTACAGATTGACAATTCAAAGTTGTATTGTTATGAATTGCACCCTTGCTGATTCATATGCTTAAAACATGTTTTATGCAAGTCAGAGTCTGTCACCATCCCCATCCGTGCCATTACACCTGTGATGTGACATTAGTGACAGCACGCCTGCTTACGTTGTCTGGCCTGAACTGTTAACACAGCTATATTGTTGCAGGGATCTCGGTGATGACAGGCAATGCTTCCAGCTCCATGTCTCTCTACAGAGAGGCAGACAAACACACTTTTTTTTTTTTTTTTTTCATGTAGATAGAAGAAAGAGTCTGAAATGATGGAGTAGGAGATATCCAGAAACATTTAAAAAATATTTCTTGATTCCATTGCTGGAAAGCTGCTCAGGGATTTTTCTCCTTGCTGTACCACAGTGGAGTTTCAGATATCTGCCTCGCAGGCTCAGTCAAGTGCATGGCTTCAGGAGGACTCTGTTTAAAATCCAATTCATTGTGCAGTTGTACCAAGTCTGCTTTCCTTTGGCATTCTACCTATATGCAGCCTGTCTAGCCATCAATCAATGCTGTGACTGCAACTCCCACAGACATGCCCTAGCTGGTTTTAAACTAGCTAGGGTGAATACAGTTAGCAGGGGAGCAAATGCAGTAGAAAGTCACGCATGGGCTAACTACCTATGGGCTTAGCTAGGAAGTTAAACTGTGCTAACCTAGTTAGTATGAAGAATCAGGATGGGTTCTGCAATCTTTACAGGCTGCTTAGCTGTTGCTACCTTGTTCATTTTAAACTGCCTAAGTATGCTACCTTAAGCTGTACCATAAGTATATCCCAAGGTAAGCGAGGAGGTGCCGTGGAATAACACATTTCGACAGCTCTGCTTGAACAACAGCCCAACAGCTGTCCAGATCTTTGATTAGATCTTAGTAACATATAAAAGCTATTGTTAACATCATTTGGAGATACTCTATTAAAAATACTGACACACAATTTAGGAAATTGCTTTGGACATGAAACTAGGCGTTTCTAGGCTGCTGCTACAGAGTGACCCTAGGCCAGCAATCATGGTTACTCCCTGTCTTAAGTCTTGTTTTAAATAAAACCACTTCTTGTATTTTGCTGTTTTAAGGGAGAAGCTCAGAACTGAGTTTCTACCTCTGTGTATGCATACACACAGAAATACAAGGTGCACATGTGAGCTATCTTTGGCCAGCACCTACCACTTCATCACCAATAAGTTGAACATGGACATTTGACGTTGAATATGTCCTCCTCGCTTGATGTTTACAGAGGGTCTGAAAGATAAGTTACGTATTTGAGGAATCGGCATGAATCATCAGGCTCCACTTCCCTCTTTAAAAGTCTGTTTTTAAGAGAGTATAAAACAAATTAAAAAAGAAGAAAACTGAGATACATGTCTCCAAATCAAAGAAATTCCATCACAGAAACAAGCCTCAGAGCTGAAATACTACCTTTCTGTGGGACATGCACACGACTGAAGAAAAATCTACTTTTTTGGAAGCACTGCCAACTTAAACTGAAAATTAAGACATGAAACAGAAAAAGCAAGCATGGTGCAATGGTAATCTGTGGAAATATCAGTGTACATGATGCTTCTCTCTGGGATATAGAGCTAGTACTGGCTTTCCCCCAGCTCGCAAATGCTTCGTAGTCGCGGGCCTCTCCTCCCTCCTTATAACTTCGCTAGTGGTGCCAACCCGAACATTTTACCACTCTGTGGCTCTGCCCTGCTCGGGACACCCATCTTCCCGGCTCCAAACCTGCTTCCCCTGCCTAGCCAGCTGCCGGTCGCTTGGTGACAGCCCCTCGGCCACCTCCGACCCTGCACAGCAGCCGGCCCGCACCGGAGGCCCGGGGAGAGGCGGGAGGCCTGCTCGGGCAGCCCAACCGCTTCACAACCCGCACCCCACCCGCTTCTACCCCCCCAACCCCGGGCCCTGCCGGCCCTGCAGGACGCGGCCTCCCCCCGCCGCGGAGCGTGTCGGGCC